GTCCAGGAGGAGGACAGCAACAAGAGCAGAGAAGGAGGTGGGGGCTTGGAGCTCAGAGAGGGAAGAGGGGGGGGGCACAGATTAGAGGTTTTGAACCGGTCTCTTTAGGTTTCTAATGAGGAAAAATGTTCTTAGTGGTATTAAAGAATTGAAAGTACACATTGTTTTCATTTTTTAATCCTTGGAAAATTAGAAAAAGAATAAGCAAAAGTATCCTGCACATCATGTTCAAACTGACATGGATGAAGACCTCAAAGGTGGAACAGTGTACCTTTGTAGCTGGGTGTTTCAGGAATGCTGCGTGAGTCGCCTGCATGCAGAGGGGGCTCATGGGAAGGCGGCCAAACGGCAGGTCACAAACAAGCAGCTTTGTCCTCACAGACACCGAGGATTATGAACATAAGCCTAAAATTCCTTAACAGAAAACTCTACAGGAAGTGTAACCACTTTCCTTCCTAAGCTCACCGACTGCAGACCCAGCATAAAGTGTGTCCATTATCAGGTAAACTCACTTTGGCATGTAAGCTCAGTGCGGGAAAAAAAAGAAGTTAATTATAGCCTTTAGTTTTAATTCTAACATTTGTGGGTTTGCTACCAAGAGTAGCTGAGAGATCCTCCCACCTGAGCTGTGGGGTTACCCAGCTCCTCCAGAGCCGCTCCACATTGCTTTCTATCTCTTGGAAGGCTTTTTATTCTGCAATACATCTTTTTTATATTCTTGATTCGAAACATTGCTTTAAGGGTCATGCAAAAGTTGGGTTGATAACTCAACTGTTGTTTAAGCATCTCAAAGATGTTCTCCCTGATCTGTCTGCCATGTTTTTTAGCCTTTTGAACCTCTGAGGCCATCAGAAAAAAATGGATTTATAATAAAGCAAAATTCAAACTTTATGTAAAGATCCAGTAGAGGAAATTATGTTTGTAATTTGCCAAACCCTTTCACTAAACCAGAACTTTTCAGATTTTTTTTTCTACTAGCGTAGAGCACCACCTGCTGGTTGAGTTATTATTAAGGGGGAAAAAGGACTAGTTATATTCAACCTTACACTTAATTAACTGGGTTGTTTTGCAACATTAGCTGACAATCAGCTAGGTATTTAAAATAATTAGAAATATCCTTGAACAAATGAAGCAAGGGTCAAAGGGTATGTGAGATACCATGCTCAAAGACTGCTTCTGCTCCAATGAAAGCAAGGGGAGCACTATTTGGAAACCACAAAATAAACATAGAAAAGGTCAAGGTTGACAAAGCCAGGTTATGTAAAATAGTTCTTCAATGTGAGGTTCCAAAACCAAACTTAGAAAATCAATAATTGCAGCAGAAGAAAGGATAAAAAAGGGAAATAGTGCCAAAATGTAAACATTAATTTAGAAATTAACCCAATGAATTATTACCTGGAAACTTTTTGCCCATTTTTTTGGTAAAAATCTGGACATTAGGATAAAGAGCTTAGGAGTCACTAAGCTGAAATGTGTTAGAGGTGAGACGGGATTCCAGGAGACAGAGGTGCATTGCAACACTATTTGTTTTCTTTCCTTTATTTAGACATCTCTTTGGACTAGTCTATCCAAATCTTTAAAGCCCAATGAAATACATCCTTCCAGTAACCAGGTCTATTTAAAAAGGATTCTTTTTTCAAAATCCATAGCTAAGGCCATAATATTTTAAAACCCTTGTCCGATTTAGATATATATATATATATATAATTACATTTAACTGAAATATTCATATAAATAGAAATAAAAAGAATAAAACGATGCTGAAATATGTTAACTAGATAAACATTGTTATGTTTGCTTCCATTTTAGAAAGACATTGAAATAGCTTATAATATGTTTCTAATAATTTCTGAGAAAGTTTCTATTTATTTTTTGATAAGAGGTTGAAGGTCTTTATCCCTCTATCCAAAATTGTATTTTGTGTTTTCAGGAAGCAAATAGAGTTGTTTTCTTTTGGCAATTTTTGAAATAATTTCCACAGAATCTTCCCAGGATCATTACAATACTATCACCAACATGTAAAATGTGTTATGTGTAATATTGTACCACAGCAATAGCTTTCCAAAGAAGTATCTTTTATTATTATTTGTTTTGTTTTTTTGCAGCCACCAATCCTAATACAAAACAACTTGTAATAAACTTGTTACAAACATTGGTCCTTGTTTATAGGCCTACCATGGGGTATTTCTTATGACATGCAGAAGCTGGTAATGACTCAACACAAAATAATTGAAGAATTGTCTTTAATGTTTTATCAACTGTACAAACAATACAAACATTGGAAGAGAGAATGGAAAAAGGGACAGAAAAGCAATATGTATGACATAGTAAAACAAAAAAGCATATAAACTCCTATATAAATGCAAACTATTAACAGTGAATAATAGGTCAATTGAATGAATGGTTGCTACACTTGCTTCAAAGTACAAAAGTGAAATACAAAAACGTTAAGCTCAACACCGGTGGCTGCATAAACTTTACAACACTTGTAATTCACATGGTAACTTGGCAGCTGCTGCTTGGACATAAAGTGAAATGATGTAACAAAAAGCTGTATTTTATGAATTATTACCATTACATTGTAAAGTATTGCTGAGGGTCAGAGGTCATTTTATTATTTGAAAATAGAACAACTCTTTACTAATTTTATCTTTTCTTCCTTTTTTTTATTTAAATTGAACATTTCTCTTTTTTCTGTTGTACAGTTTAACTTTCAAAATATTCTTTTCATAGTATTTTGTCTTGTGTCTGCTGTTCACTTGTTTTTGCCACTGTCACATCTGAATTTCCCCACTCTTGGGTAATAAAGGAGTTTTATCTTATCTTAGCCAATTCTTAGATATGTTAGCTTGTAAAAAATGTTTCAGGATGTGAGATTAAAAAACCTATGACATGACTGTTACATATTAATAACCGCCCCCAAGCAACGCTTAACTTAAGTCCTAACTAACAGGAATAATTGCAATAAAATTATTTTAGGTAAAATTTGATTAAGAAAGTTTTTCTTTTGAAAAACATGTTATTAAGTCCTATCTGAATTGACCTCTTTTGTCACAGCTGCTTGGTAAAACTCAGTTCCCAAATAAAGATAGCTAAAATAGCAATATGCTGGTGAATGTTCTTCATCCAGGTCATAGTCAATCCAAAAAAAAAAAGAAAATTAAAAATAATCCACTGGACTTTGTTTCCAAGTTTAAAGACGTTCCGCTTCCCATCCAGAAAGCCTTTTCAATTCAAAATGTCAGGGATGGCATTGAGTTCGAAGTTTTATACAGTAGCCCAACAAAGCCTTTTTTTTGGGGTTGTTTAGACTGCAATATCTCATATGGCTATGGAGAAGATCAAATTAATCAAATTAAGGATTTTCTCCAAACACAAAATCCCAGTACATTTCAAATCAAACAGCACCCTTAGACAGAGGCATGTCCATCCAATGGACAAAACCCCCAAACCAAATATGAGCTGATGGTGTATGCAGTTCAATACAGTGAGGAATTTCTCTGATTTTAATATTGGAGAAACCAAACAACCTCCACAGATGCATGACCCAAAACAGAAGAGCTACCTCCTATGGACAAGACTCTGCAGTAAATCTACATCAGGGGTGCTCAAGTCCAGTCCTCAAGAGCTACTATCCTGCAACTTTTTGATGCACCCCATTTTTAACTCACCTGAATCAAATGAGTGGCTCATTACCATGCCTCTGCTGGGCTAAATGAGGGGATTAAGCCTTTCGAATTAGGTGTGTTAGAGAAGAGATGCATCTGGTAGCTGTTGAGGACTGGACTTGAGCACCCCTGATCTACACCTTATGGACACATTTTGGTTGAAGAAAATAGGTGGTTTGAGAGGGGCGTGAAGGAAGCGATCTATGTTAAGAAAGAAAAACCAATCTTAGACAAAGGGGGTGGACTCAGGTTCAAGCTTTCAAAAACCTACAATGCAGCTATTGAGTTAATCCCTGCGCTGCGATGGACTGGCGACCTGTCCAGGGTGTACCCCGCCTCTCGCCCATTGACAGCTGGAGATAGGCACCAGCACCCCTTGCGACCCACATTGGGAGAAGCTTGTCAGATAATGGATGGATGGATGAGTTAATCCCTTTCCGTTATCATCGCAGCCCCACCCCCTGTACAGGAGAGTGGAAGACCTTGCCTATTCAGCCACGCCAACAATCCCCTTTAACGACCGACCTTTCAAGCACTTAGATGGGTATGGCGTATTGCAGTCTAAGAAAAGATGCCAAATGACCTCCATTCCAAATGGGTGGACCCCTTCGTCTGCTTCAATTTTCACATTTTCAAAACAAAAACAAGGCTTTGTTGGCCTATTGTATAAAACCTCAAACTCAATCGAAAAACATTCCTGGATGGGAAGCGAAACGTCTTCAAACTTGAAAACAAAGTCCAGTGGATTATGGATTAGAAAAAAGACCGTTCAAAACTTTCTTGATTTTAAGCCTTTTTCATATTTATTAAAATCATTTTTGTCTAAAATTGTAGTTTGTTTTAAGATCTGATATATTTAAATGTGTCAAAAAGCTAAAAAAAAAAAAAAGACATCACTGTAGGGGTAGAGTTTTCCAAATTCTTTGAACTACAATGAGCTAAATTATTTTACAATATCCAACAGCATGCGCATTTCAGCTTTAATAGCATCTAAACTCTTTTTCCAAATGTATTTTGTTCTTTAAACTGAACTCAATAAAAAGTGAGTCGAGTTTAGGCTCCTAATCAGGCTACTTTGCCTGTTCAGACTAAGAACCCTTATCTTTTTAATATGATATAATTACTTTAGTCCTAGTTTATGACCTTTAAAGAGTGTGTAACTAACATTTGCACATAAACACTAATGACATTTAATAAGAGAGAAAAAGACAGAGGTGTGCTGCTACAAGACCAAACAGTGCTAAAACTGTACCTTATCATGTCTGGTCCAGTTTGAGAATGAACAAAGTAAACAAGGTTTCAACTTCTTTACACAACAAAATCGCCCTTTTAAATATATAACTTAAATAGAGCTCTCCTTATTTTCCTCTTTCTTGTTTTTATCAATGGTAATGTTTGCATGTCCTTTGGTCAGTGTGTTATACTCCACTCCATTTTCTTTGGCCTGCTCCCTCAGCGCTAACTTCTTCTGTCTCTTGACAATTTTGACATAGAGGAATCCCCACAACACATTGGCAAAGAAGTAGAGTCCAGTTACCAAACCCAAAAAGGTCATCCTGAAAGTAAAGTATGTTTGAAAAATCACTAGTTGGACATTTGACTTCCTTTTTTTTAAACAATGGATTATTTGGAATAAGTCTGTTTTTTACCTGAACGCATTAGAATCATAAAGCCTGCATGCTCCCCGTCCTCCGCACTGTTTAGTGCCCCACTTTAAACATGTCCGATCAATCAGTGCTCCAAAGTATATAGGTGGAGGGATCCCACCTGGAAGCACAAGCACAAAAATAACTCTCATCAAGCTAATTATTGTTAATATCAGTACAAATGGGCTTGCTGCAGTTTTTGTACTCACCCAGAGTTCTTACAATCAGTGTCTGCATTCCTAATGCCAATGACTTCAGGTCTGGATGAATGGATCTGGAATAAAACGGCAGGGTAGTACAGTATAGTTTATCACGATAGCATGCCTAGCAAGCCTATGAAATGGCTGTTTGTTTAATGACTATTTAAGCAAATAAACATAGACACTTTTTGACAAAACTAAGAAAATTCCACAAATTTTATTTTCATTTGGAGTTATTTCAACCTTTTATTACTGTCATTAAAAGGCTAAGGAATGTTAAAGATTAAAGGTGTAGAGAGCGATTTTATTTCCAGGTGGATCATCTAAATAAATGGTCCTCCTAACTGCCAATCATTCTGGTGATATGTTTACGTAAGGCCGTCCTATGTGCTAGTAACCAGTTAGCTATCTTTTTCTGTGCATGCACACTTTTGGGCGTCATTGAAGCTCACCTTTCTCATCGTGGTTCTTGGCCAATGGCCAATGGTTGTAAGAGAAAAAGTGTCTGCGAAGAAAAGAAAGGCCTCAGAAGAGGCAGATATATCCCAGATACGCGGGATGTATCCTTTGCGCGGAAAGCTCCCCGAAAAAAGCATTATGGGATTTGCTGTCACAGCAGCCTGCTGTCCCCATAGGTTGTCACTACCCGACAGCGGTGACTTATAACAAAGATGGCGCAAGCACTGTGCAGTGGAGGCAAAGTTACATGACCAACGGGGAACAAATAGCAGTAATCATCTATCCAAACGGTAAGTTAACAGAGCTCGCTATAAAGTCCACTATATAGTCCATGCTCTATATAGTGATTGACTAATATAGAGATTAGGGCAGACTTTTGGATACTGTAAGCTTGTATAAGCTTTGAGAACATCAACTTTTAATCAGAGCGTGCATGAGGACAAATGGGCTCACGAAAGCTCTGGCACGCGTTTAATTGTCGTTCCCTCTCGGGAGCAGGTACAGGAATGTACGTGTGCATTTTTTTTTAAAGTTAAGAGGGCGGGTCTTTTAAAAGGTTTGCAAAAATTCTCCAGAACACATTTATGCATAGGTTTCTTGGTTCTTAGTTTTTCTTGATGGAAAATTTGTTTTTGATCATAAATACGTGTCCAAATTTCTTCCTTCCTTGTACTGTCTCTTTTTTTCCTAATTTATTTAAATATTATACTTTTGGTTGAATCTTCATGCTTACAGCTGGTTTAATGACTGGAAAAAAAGTTGGCATAAGATGTTGCATTGTTTCCCATTGTTATTTCCTTGTATTGTATTTCAGGAGCACACACTCATAGGTTATAAAACCTGACCCCCATGGAAATATGTTTATATGTTTATCAGTCTTCATTAAGGAAGATTACTAAATGTGCAATTTAAGTTTTTTTTTTTTTTTATAGGAATGAATATTGTTTCTAGTATAAATGAAACCTACCTCAGCAGTACAATGTATCCTGGTGTGCCACCACAAGCAGATATAAAGGCTCCTACCACTGTCAAAGCCATGTAGATTTTAAATTTGAAATCACAATCACTCTTTCTCGGACACTGGCCCAACACCACAGACATGTTTGCAGCAGGAGTCGTAAAGGTTCCCACACAGGTACAGTTATGAAACACCTGGAGAACAAGAAAAAGGGATCTGATTCAGAATCACTTTTACCTTCAGCTTATTCTTTGCCGCTCTGCAGAACAGAATTGTTACCAGCAAGTTTTTTTTCCTTTTTTTTTTTTTTTTGTGGATACATCTATTTTGGCTACAAAAAGGGAAAATTAAAGTTAAATCAGTTTACTTATTTGTGAATTTCTGAAATACACCATTAACGTTGACTTTCACTTTAGTTGATTAGCAAATCATCTAATGTATCATGTATCATGTAAGGATGAGGAGTCAATATATGGGTAGAAGTGTAAAATGATGATAACAGCCATTTTGTGTTCAAGCACTGGAAACCGTTTAACTTCAATGCAAAAGCGATCTAGAAATAAGTGAAAAATTCTTAAATTAAGTGTATTTAACTTTAATTTAAGTAGATAAATAAGATAATTTGCTAATGGAATGGGTATTTTTCTACTCTTAAAGTAAGATAATAGATAATGTGCACTTGAAATACGACAATGCAAGTATTTTTTCTTATTTTGAATGTAAATTCTCTTGGTCCAGTAGCGTGGTGTCTCACTTTCTATCGCAATTCAAGACAAAATGCACTTATTTTAAGAAAAAATTATTTATTTAGATTTGATTTTTTTGCACTGTTTGGTAAGAAAAAAAACACTCACCATTGCTTTTCCTGATCCAGTGGCGGTCTGACATCCAGCCAGGCAGGGTGAAGCATATGTCATGCCATTATAGGCACACACTGGATCCCAGTGCTTCAGTGAGCATGAGCAGCCAGTATTGCATGGGGCCAACAGTGTTGAGTAATTATAGGACACTTCAGGATAACTGGAGCAAGGCAGACATGTGAAATTTCAATTTAATTCAGCTTAATTTCTAAGAATGTTCATAGGTGATAATGGAGCGTAGTGTTATGCCACACACCCTTGATAGGCAACAGTCAAACCAGCAACCTCTGCATTGTCACAGTGGAAGAAACCCTGCAGGAGAAGCATGGAAAAGGATCCAAGAGATGCAACGATGGAAATTCTGGCCGCACCCACAATACCCAGGTTGAACTTTTTCATGACAACGCCGCCAGTGATGATGCCCAAAGCGACTGCAGGCAGGTTCATTATTCCTGAATGGCAAAATTTACGGAGGTATTAATAGGTTGGAAGAATTATTCCTTAATATAGAAAACAAAGGGTTAATAACGTTTGATAACCGCACAGTCATTTAAAGCTGAATATAGCGTCTAGACTTGACAAACATTTGCACAAAGGGAGATTTCACAGTGGGTCATTAAGTGCCTACATTCTTGAGTGGGTTTTATCACACACAATCACACTTCCCTTTAATAACATCATTGTTCCAGTTGCAGTAAACGTGGAGCGAATGAGGGAGGGCTGGGCAGTGTACCTATGAGAAAAATTGCTCTGGATGCCGCCTGGCCGTAGATTTGCTCCATGAATTTAGGTTTGAAGGTGATCATGCCAATGAAGCCGTTGACTACAACCAGATAGGTGAGAATCATCATTACGTAGATGCTGTTCCTGAAGAGTCTCTTTAACGACGGGATGAAATCTGGGAAATAAGAATGCATGAATTCAATACTTCTATCTCTTATTTATTTATTTATTTATTTATTTATAGCTTCTTTGTTTATCCAAATATTGGGTTACCTTTAACCATTTCCTGAAACGTGACTGTCTTCTCTTTTTCCTGATCATTATGGGCCTCATCTGGCAGGAAAGTATCCTGTTCTGATCCAGCGGTTAACTCTGTGCTTTTATTTTTCTTGTTTTTTACCGCCTGCTTAGGCAGGGATTTAGGCAGAAAAAAGAATGGGATACTTGACAGCAAAATCACTGTGCCAGTCACAATGAAGCCCAACCACCAGGCTCCCACCCAGCGAGAGTCCTTGTAGGTAATAGTGATGCTGTCTGGGGGAAAAAGGCAGAAGAATCACTGTTAGGATATTGAGTTGAACATTTTCTAAGTTGGATTGTTTTGTATAAGAAATTTAAAATTTTGTAATTTCCATAAAAAAATGACCAAAAAAATGGGGAAACTCCTTATATGTGTATTCTTGGAATATTGAAAGTTTCTTTACATCAAAATGTCATGTGTGACTGGGTAGAAATTGTACTTTTACATATTGTTAGTTGATAGCGCGTAATAATAAATACCTGTTGGATCCTTCCTTATTTCTCATTTTTACATTTTTCAAGTTAATAATTTGATTTTATACCAGCATATGGCATTTTTTTCAAAACTGTTTCTATTTAGCAACCATATACTCTTTTGAAACACAAACAGTTACTATTTGATAAAAAAGTTATAAATAATGGGGCAGTTTATACAATAATTATAGCTTACTTATTTTTTTTATTAGAACATAAAAATCTCTTTCCTTTGCTGTTATTGAAATAATTAAAAATTTCTTTGTGTGTGCTCGATACATGAATCATCTATTTGCCTTAAAAGTTAGTATTTAAAAGTATATGTATAATTTCTAAACTTGTACATGATTAGCATGAAACATCCATGAAAGAATGGCTAATTTTAGTATCTAAAAAAGTGGGTACTTAAAAATATAAGTTCCAAAGCATCAAAATGACCGAAAACCATTATCTATTGTGATGTTTCTATCGTTTCAATGCACAAAATGATAATAAATACATTAACGCCTTGTTTTGCTACCATAACCTTTAAAAACTCTTTAACTTAGCAATAAAATGCTTAATTCGTAATCTATGTCGCTAATAGTGGGTTAAGTTACTGATACCATTCAGTGACTGCTAACTACAGCAAGACTAGTCATAAAAGATAAAAATATAATGTATGAATAATGAATATATTCATATATAATCTATTAACTGTTAGGGATTAATGTAATTTATACGTAAAAGATACTCTAAGTCTAGCTAAACATGCTAAAATTATACATCTTTTATCAGCACCCCACAAAACACACATCAGACCTATAAGTTAGAGGTATAATAAATACAAAACACTGATTCTCTATCAACGTTGCATGTCTGGTTAATAAGCGCCAATTCAAGGCACAGCATACAGACCCATTTTGATCCGAAATCCTGACTGACAGCTTCCACTAATCGGTTGTTTTTGTGCTCTTTGGCACACCAACAAGAATGCTCAAGAGTGTTAAAATGCCATTAGAGAAGTTTTTGAAGCGACAAAATGTTTATAAGTGTCTGACGACTGAATATATATCATTAATATACTAAAATGTTTATTGGTAGATCCTGCGCTTTCTTTTAATGGTTATACTGGCAAACAACAGCAACCAATTACAGTTTGCAATTTTTTGGTGAATAGAAAAAAAACAGTTTTGAATTGCATATTTTTTCAAATGTGACTCTTTGTTTTCTGAATGAAAAATCTCCTACCTAAATCAACAAATCCAATGTCCACATAGGTCTTGGCAAGGAAGGACCCCAACATGAAGCCAAGCATAGGTCCTAACATACCTGTTGTATGGATGCAGGCTAGCACAGAAAAGAAAATAAGAGGAAATCATTAAAGGAGATGTGAGTTTTTCATTAGTTTGCATAAAAAACAAATACATTTAAATAGAACAAGGGATATATTTATGTAAGAAATAACTTCGGAAAAAAATGTTGGCAGTGAAGATCTATGACAATGTTGCAATTCCGTAGGAATATTTCAGAAAATAAAACATGTCAATATTATGTAAAATACTGAGCCAAAGCATGAGATAAATAACAACAACAAACCCAAATAGAAAGGGGTGTTTTCCTGTCTAGAAAAGTCATCCAGATAGGATACTCCCAAAGGCATGATAGGAGTCTCTCCAATTCCACGAAGCATGTTTCCAAGGAAAACATAGATCCACATGGACGAGCCAGTTGTCTTCTCACAAGCTGAGGGGAAGTAAGAATATATACATATATATGTATTTAAAAATTGACAATTTTTTTGTTATATATATCCTTAAATATTTTTTTTTTTTTTTTTCGTGTGGCAGGTTTATGATTGAATCTCAAATTAGTGGGGATGAACCTTCAAATAGCTACCTTTGATGGCTTCTACATCAGGGGTTTCATCTTTCTCTGTCAGGCTGTGGTTGGACAAACAGGGCAAGATGCTTTCGGTGCTGTTGATTTTAGCATTGTGGGACATACTGGTTTCATATTTGTACCTAAAAAAAGTTCAGAATATGGATTTAAATATATTTGTATACATATTTTCTTATTTCATGTTCTAATACCTTAGGTTATAAGTGCTTCAACTCTCATACTACTACTATGAGCATCTTATATTGCATATTTCCTCTCATATAAATGCTTTATTACTGGTTGATAAATAATACTGCTAACAAGACACTTTAAGAAAATATGTAAAGGGAGTAAACAATATGTATACTAACGGGCCCTGTAAAAAATGTGGCAGCGCAACAACGTAGCATCCAATGGCCATTAAAAGACAGCCGATACCAATCAGCCTGGGACGATGGAGCTTTGCACCAAAGTAGCTCACAAAGGCGATGACCAACAAGTTTCCTGTGAAGGGAATAAGTCAACAATTATTCTTCAAAAGATTAGTTTTAAACTACTATTTTAAGCATAGATCATCTCTAGTTCACAAACCCATTTCGAAGCTGCCATCTATGACCCCGATGAGAGAGCTGGGAATGTCGAACCGTCTCTCAATTTGAGTGATGGAGCTCTTCATGTATGATCCACCAAAAGCTTTGGAGAAATATACAAATGCCAAAGAGACCAGGAAAAGCTGCAAGAACACAAACAATGCATTAAGCCAGGTTGCAAGAAAATGGAGGATTGCAATAGTGCAGAATAATAGGTATCCGTTAGGGTCTTGTTAACAAGAATCCATGATCAGATAGTCACATTCCAACTCCAGGAATCACATGCTACCAGAAGTAAGTAAAGTACGAAAGTATGAAAGTGACAAAAGCATCTATAGACACTCCATTATTTGCCAACATTTGAAGAGAAAAAAGCTGGTAACCTTGTCATCGGTTTGTTTGGGTTTTTGCCTCTTAAGAGGGAACTCAGTTGCTTGTACTTCTTGAAGATTAACTCAGTCAGTCTGCTCACTTTTTCACTACTCCTTTTTCAAAAAGAACACAAAATATGGAAAAATTGCAGCTCCTTTCCCTTCATAAGTGAGTTTCCACAACAGAAATACTTTCTCAAGATCTTGGGAAGTAAAACACGTGCAAGGTACTCATACATTAGCATTAGCAAAGCCTCTGTTTAGGTACAGGACAAGTAAGCAAAGTGTCCTTTTTGTCTGTGGGGGTTGTTTTCAATGTCTATTCTGTTGAACAGTGGTGTTATGCAAGACATGTTCTTGAATGTCATGTAAGCCATTTTGTTGAACATGCCCCATTTTTTATACAATTCAACCAACTATCCCCTTTAGATGAAAAAAAAATATACTACTTCAAATAATAATGCACACTGTCTCTTATCCTCTGCACTGTTCACACTTTGACCACTGCTGCACTTTTTGTATTTTTCTATAACTCGTGCCATTTGAAATATCAATGCAACGTTCATAAGCTGTATGTAACGCAATTTCGTTCTGTATGCACCCTGTGCATACAAAATGACAAATAAAGAAGTCTAAGTCTAAGTCTAAGTCTAATACAAATACTGGGTCCCACTCTTCTTCAGATCCATTGTCCCCTATGCGGCGTGTGTTGTAACAACACTGCACAGAGCATGTTGTCTTACATGCAGCTCATGTTCCACCGGATACACCAACTTATAACACACCCCTTGTTTTAGTAAGGACCTTTTGTCACGAGACCCAACTGACAAAAGGTCGACAAGCAGCAGTTTGAGCAACCCTGCAACCTTTAGCCAGATACACACACACAGTCTTAAACACGTGCTTAAAAGGAGATAGTCATTGCAGATTGTTTAACATATGCATGGTATAGTAGATAAGGGATACTCGCAACTATGAAGTTTAGAATCATTGATTATATTCAGAAAATTCTATTGATAAAACTTATTCTATTAGCTGTATAGAAGAAAGTTTGTCATTGGTGTAGGCCTTTGCATTTCATAATAATTACTTATTGAGAGGCTATAAATCACATATTTATTATGCTGCATTATAGACTCCCAGAAGTGTGTCAACAGAGAGTGTTTATTTAAATAGTTAGTGATTCCAAGATGGCGCCCTCAGGACCTTGCTGTTTCATTAATTACTTTGAACAATAATAACTTCTTGTTAACACCTGTTAATATTTGGCAAAAACAGGAAAATTTCCTACAATGTGCAAAAAAATAGGGAACATCAATCAGCAACAATCCTGGATTGCCGATCTTCCTCAGTCTGTTCTTCAAACTATTAAACAGGGTTTGGTGTAAAAAGCATTTCCTATAATATATTGAAGGTTGATGAAAGTATATTTTTTAAAAGCAGATAACAGGTATTTGTGAAGCTGTTCATGTTAGGTCATTGGGTAACATACAAAAATGTCTGCTTGCTTTGTCATGACACCAAACTGAATGAAGAGATTAAGCATTACCCAGTACGATGATTAATGGAAAGGGAGAATATGGTTTGTTTACAAAGCTATCCTTTTTTAATTAGTTTATAAATACAACCTTATGTTACTGAAAGCAATACTTTATGAGGATATATAGAAAACAACAGTGATTAAATAACTCTGGAATTAGCCACATAATTGCAGATTGTGGACATTATCAACACAAGGAAACCAAATCTGTTTCCTTTTGAAATCATTGCCCAACCTTTCAGGCCAGGCTTTTATATTTTACATGCAATATTTAATGGACACAAACAGTGGTCATGTGCTACAGTAGACCCTGATATCATCTTGATAAATAGAGCCACATTTAATTATGTGCAGTACACATATAAATTACAGGGAAAGTAATATAAATAGTAATCCTGACCTTCATTTACTTAAAAAATAAATATATAAAAAATCTCCTAAAGTTTATATTATAAATATCAGTTACAGCAAAATAAGTTTTAATCTTTTACAAATAAAAGATTAAAATAGGTTTTAACCCTTCGCTTGTAAAAAAAAAAAAAAAAAAAGTATTGCTGCTTTAATTATGGCAAAGGTAAGACCTTGGTATCTTCATTGAAAGTCCAACATGTTGTAATGTAGGCAAAAGTTGGGACTACACTGACCTTGAGTTTGGAGCAACATGCCTCACGTGTTTTTTTGGACTCTACACTCATGATGCTGTTGCTTGGTCAACTGGGAGGAGAATAAAGAGAAAAAAAAAACAAGGATTCCAAAAGTCCTGCAAAGAGACAGCAATAATCGAATTCAACATTAGACTTATTTGCCTTAAAAGATTATATAAAGCAATTCTATTATGTTGTGTAACAAAAATGACAAAATTATTACATTATTTTCTCACACCGATAGCATTGGAGAATATCTATTTTTTAGGTGTTAAGATGCAAACATTTATAAGATTTATATTTTTTTCTTGAGAGAGACACATTGATAATACCTTATCTAGGGGTCTAAATTTTTTAGTGTTTTATTGTTATAATAAAAAATGCATATCAGATGTACCAACAAAAATGTGTAAAATTATACTAAACAATCAGTTTGTTTAAAAATTTCTGGATTTTACTTTGAAAACACATTAGGAAGACACCCAAACTAATAAAAAATCAGCAGATCCTAATCAAGAGATAGGGAAATAAAAATAAAGGCAAGTATTTTATGAGTATTTACCTTAAGTGGTGATGGCCCAGTGTGAAGGATCCCAGCTGATGGCTTGTTGTAGCTGGCAAGATTCCCCACTTAAAGCCCAAGTCTTATCTCAAAATTATAAAATCGCATGTAATCAGTAACTCATGTCAATAAAGAGCAATCCAGCCCTCATGCAAACTGACATGTGCCGCACGGCTCAAACATAGTTGCGACTGCACGACTTGTTCAGCTAGGATGACTCTCCGAGCAGGAGGTGAAGGGTTCAGAGGTTCTCAGAGTACAAACACAAGCAGACAATCACAGTCGTGCACATCCTCCTCTGTGAAACATCACAGGCCTCCTAAGTAGCCATCCTTTTGAACACACAACAAACAGCAGCAGCATGAAGCTGGCCAAAGTTTATTGTGTATTTGCATGTTTGGAGATGAAGGTTGGGCGGCCAAGAATGGCTTAGAGATCAACATTTTTTAAATCACTGCGCTACATGTTCCTCTGGCATTTCTCATTGAAATATCAGAGTTTTCTACAGCCTTATTTATTTCCAAGTAAGAATCATCGATGGAAGTGTTTTTAACTGACTAAACCTAAATGATGGTAAGACATTGCTGAGGGAGCTTTACTGATACTTTTGGCAATTTTTGTTTTGTTTTACAGTGTCCTGTCTGGCGACGTGGCAATAAGAATAATTTTCTTGATGCCAAACAGAGCCCAATAGCCCAACAGTGCCCAAGTGCAAAGCTGTACAGAAACATCTGAGTAATATGAGGAGATGCTGTAAGGATTTACAGCTAATTTGGCAACTTTAGGTTGTCATACTCTAGCATTGTCGATAGGTGATTCTAAGGAACTGGCAAAATTAAATGCAAGGCCCAGGGGTATAACGTAATCTTGCGCTGCTTGGCATAGAAAATGCTTTCCTCACACAACCATGCACCCCATTTCTCTTTTGCTTCTTGCAATTCAAGTGATTTTTTTATGTGATATGGTATTATGGAGGGTTTTCGCAAATTTTTAAAAGACCCGCCCTCTTCAAGAAATGCAAGTCAGTTTCTCCTCATGCATGCTCTGTTTAAAAGTTGCTGTTCTCATAGCTCATACAAACTTAGTGTGCCTGAACGTCCGCCATAACTCCTAAATCCCTCAATCACTATTAAAGGGAGACTATATATTGGACTTTATTGCAAACTCATTTAACTGATGGTTTAGACAGATGGTCACTGCTTTTTGCATGGCATTAGTCACATAACTGTGCGGTGCCTGCGGCATCTTCATTATTAGTCACCGCTGTCAGGTAGCGACAGCCTATGGTGACAGTGGGCTGCTGTGACAGCAAATCCCATAATGCTTTCTGAGATATATCTGCCTCTTCTAGGACCTTTCTCTTCTTTTTGTTCGCTTTGTAGACACTTTTTCTCTTATGACCCTCAGCTGTTTTCAAAGAACCTTGGTGAGAAAGGTGAGCTTCAATGACTGTCTGAAGCCACATATATACCCCTGAAACTGTGCATGAGCAGAAAAAGATAGCTAACAGTACGAGCATGTAGGACGGCCTTAAGCAAACATATCACCAGAATGATCGACAATTAGAAGGACCACCTATTTAGATGATCCACCAGGAAATAAAAGATTGTCCTCTAGAGCTTTAACTGAAGTTACTTTTGGATGCTTTTGGATTTTGATAATTCTGCTGTCATTTAAGGAGAGGTGAGGTAACACCTTCAACAGGTCATCAGTTCATTATAGGGCAACAGAGACACACAGGCCAACCGTTCACATGCATACTCCTTTTTCAGAACAATTTAGATGCACCGATTAACCTTACAGACTTTTTGTGGATTATTGCGGAAGATGAAATACAAAAAGAGACATGAAAAATTCTCCTGGCAGCTCTAGCTAACCATGACTTGGTTTCAACAGATCCCCCCTTTTTTAAACTACTTTAGATTTTTAACGCTATTGTTTGGTATTCCTTATCCTTTGAATACCTTTTTATCCTTTTGCTATTTTCACATCAACCCACTTTCTGTTTAGTCTTTCATCTCTTGTTTTCTAGAGAAATATAGCAAAAATATTTTCACCCCATGATGACACATTAAAAAACTTTTTTTCCCCCACAAACTAATATAAGCCCACAGATAAGAGGTATGGAATGTCCCCTTTACAATCCATTAAATAATATTTAAGTTAAGACCATTAATATCTTAAACAACTTTTCCCTTAGCTCCCTCAATCTCGGAGTCATCATTCATGGCTTGGTATTAACCGAGTCAAAATCTTCCTGAATTGTGTTGCAAAGCTCTCAAACCGTTTTCTGCTCCCGAACTCCCACCAACTGTTTGTGAATATAGATGTCTTCCTTGGAGTTGAAGGCTAGAAGCAGTCAAAATGTCCTGGAGGGAGGAAAACACATCTGGCTTCCACAGGAAGCATGCTGTTGTGGTTACTGGATATTAAAATGGATCTTGCAGCTCAGATTAGAGATGTCCTTTGGGGCTGTGAGCCACTACCTTGCATGTTTTATGTGTATCCTTGTTGCCATACAGCTACCTTGTATGGCTGAATTAACAGATTTTCTAGCACTTGATGGCTGCTGAGGGGGCATGCAACTAGGAGACTTCTATAACATGCAGGGCAGTGGTCACTAAGTACCAGGATTGAGAACAATTGCAATAGGGATCTTGTAGAACCGTAAACTAACTGGCTCCACTCTCTTAATAGAAAGTGCTAGTGGCCTCTCACTTACGCATCATACTCCAGCTCAGCAATGAATCCCCAAATATGCTCTGATTTGACCTCAGCCTTTGAACATCTAGTCAGAACCATTTGAAGAATTTATTTTGTAAGCCAAACATAGACTGTTGACAACATTGTCACTACAGGGAGGTGATGTAACAGGGAAATCTTGGACAAGGAATTACAGTGACTAGGTATGGAAAGTTTGCCTTAGCTGGAAAGAAAATGTCATGTAATTTTTTTATATCTAAGCAAGTTGAGGCACCTCATTCAATAAGCCTTCTTCCTCTGACACACTTCCAAAACTCTTAATCTACTTGTCTTGTGCTGAATGTGATCAATGAATGAGGAATAACTTGTATTCCCTTATTCAGAGAATACGGTAAAACGCTTTATTTTGGAAGTAAGCTGTGATTAAAAGTATGTGGTCAAAGCCAAGCTTATTTGCTGTGACAGAAACTCTGATTTTCTGCAAAATTCTGTTTGTGCCTCCATAATGAGGCTTTGATGGATGAGGTCACTTCGAGCCACCCTCCTCCCGTTGAGGACGGGCAGTTCATGGCTCTCTGCTAATGTCCAGTCCAGTCAGCGGCCCATCGATCAACACTTCATACCCCCAGCCCCTCCCTCCCTTGGGCCAGTGAACCAGTGGGCTGGCCTGTATGTCAATTTCGGGGTGTGAAAAATGTAAAGGGCAGAACAAAATAAGGCAACATCCCAGAGCTTACGTCAACCCAGGGCTTCATTTGGATTTGCCCGTTTTATCGTGCAAGTTTAGAATTGTGAGATTTGCATAGAAAGGAGGTGACGATGGGGTTTGAACTTATCTGTACATTAATTTCACCCACTGAACTATTGTTATTCATCTGTAACAATGTAAACTCAATTTTGCATTCTATGACCCCTTTAATCTGTAACAACAACACAACTACAGTTAGTTGAGGGAAGTTTTTGCTCATGACCTTTTACCTGAAAAAGGCAATTATGTAATATAAAAAAAAGTGTAAAGTACTATGCTTGCAAAGCTTTATACACTCTTAAAAACATATATTACAGGTAATAAAACAGGAGCATGATTGATAATCTTTCATGAAAAAACATAGTTTTATCTTACAGTGCAGCTAAGATTCATATTTTTACAAGTGCAATCAAACTACAATCAAAACCTTAACCTACAATAATAAAACTTAAAAAGTTTATTATGGAAAATATTTACAGTAATATTTCACATATTCCTGGGATTTTTACAATATTTTTCAACAGGAAGTTAAACATTCCTTCTGACCAAGTTATCAGGATGGTGTCTAAGCACATACATACTTAAAACTTTATGCTAGTTTTAAACAGAGCTAGAAAAAAAGAAGTCAGCCTCACATTTTTGAATGCAGATCTTCAAGTTGGACAATACAACCTGTGCTAAAAACAGTTTTGTTTTACTAAAAGAAATCTGTGATTCAGCTGGTACAGTAGAGGAGAGGATCTTTAAACAGCATGTGCAAACCCATTCCCACCTTTTTTAATATTTCTTATGAGACTAAGTTAGGCTTAGCTCTGCAATGCAGACATGGACTCTACATGTAATCTACAGAAAATGCAAACAACTATGTTATTCAAAAATGTCACACCTTTTAGATGTTTTGCACTCATGTACATATTTTAAAATCTGTACATGAGTGCAAAAATATATTATAAATATCACTTCACCTGAAATAGAGTTACCTCTGAATTTTGGATTTGTGGCCCTAATCCTATAAAATTCTTAAGGTTTTCAATTGTATTGTCTTAAATTACTTTGCATCCACTTCAACCTTTGAAGAGGAGTACATTTTCAATGTGTTCAATCAACCTTGCAACTGCAAAGTCAGAGTTAAACTCCATGGTGATTACCTTTCCCTTCTGTGGACACTTACATCATAGACCTTCACTACAGCCACTATTGCAACCATACATATAAAAAACACAAGCGGTATGTTGCTCATATACGATAAAAATCTCAAATATCATCTTATAAACTCTAAACATCAGTATATGAAAAACTGACTTAAGGCTACATCCATGTTACAGAACTAAAAACAGTCAAAGTAGGACATAACCATATTGATTAAGTAGCAGCCATCTTGAGTGTTTTGCAATGATTTGTTGACCTTGAATTCCAAATTTTGAGGACATCCCAACTGAAATGTTCCACTAGGTGGGTGGAATTTCAAAATTATTTCATTATAAATGCAGTTGACGTTAAAATAGTGAAAAAATCTAAAGAAGGCTACTGCCACCCGATCATTCAACGCTACCCTGTACCATTACCACTAATGGTTACATTGCCATTCAAAAGGGTTCATTTTTATTATACAATTGCCTGTAACATGTTAAATAGTGCTTTCATTGTTTGTCTCTTCCCTGTGTTTAACAATGTTGATGTGAGCATGTCCATTACTTAGTCTTTTACCCTCCGCTCCATTCTCTTTGGCCTGATCTCTCAGTGCTAGCTTCTTCTGTTTTTTAACTATTTTGACGTAGAGGACTCCCCATAACATATTGGCTAGAATGGAGAGTCCAATAACCAATCCTAAGAAGGTCAATCTGAAAGATAAAATATGTTGGAAAAATAAAGTTAAATACTTTTGTCAGTTTAACATGGAGATGTTTGGGATACTAATAGCAAAACTGAAGTATGATTATACTCTACCTAAACATGTTGGCATTATAAAGTCTACATGCTCCACGTCCTCCACATTGCTTGGTTCCCCACTTCAGGCATGCCTGATCAATTAGTGCTCCAAAATAAATTGGGGGAGGGATCCCACCTGGTAGCAAAAGGTTCCTTTAGTTTAAACTCTGAGACGAAGAAACAAAACTACAATAATTAGTGATCTAGCTTTGCAGTTGCATTTCTCTACTCACCTAGAGTCCTTACGATTAATGTCTGCATACCCAAGGCCAAAGATTTTAGATCTGGTTGAATTGACCTAAATCAAAGTTAAATGGTAAACCAGAAAATAAACTTAATGAAAAGAAATTACATTTTTTTTTTTTTTTACAGGTATAAGAAATGTTATAACAAACAGGTACTGTATAACAAATTCTTCATTGGCATCCTGTTAAATCCAGAATATAATTTAAAATCCTCCTTCTCACATATAAAGTCTTAAATGGCCACGCCCCATCTTATATCAGAGATATAATTGTTCCTTATGTCCGTAACAGAGATCTTCGCTCTCAATCTGCAGTTTAACTAGAGGTTCCTAGAATTTCTAAAAGTAGAATAGTAGGCAGATCTTTTAGTTATCAGGCTCCTCTCCTGTAGAACCGACTACCAGTTTTAGTCCATGAGGCAGACACCCTGTCTACTTTTAAGGATAGGCTTAAAACTTTCCTTTTTGATAAAGTTTATAGTGAGTGGCTCAGGTTATCCTGAGCTATGCTGCTATAGACTTAGACTGCTGGAGGACACAGGGATCCCTTTTTCATCAATCTGCTTCATTCTTCCACTCTGCAGGGTCTGTTAGTTAAATCTCTAACGTTATGCTCTCTCAGCCTTTTCTCATAGTAGTTTTGCCTCATCCGTTCCTGTTTGGCTGTGACACCACTCTGCTTGGCTGTGTGTTTCCTGGAAGGGGCTGCCTTTTACAGTTGCCTTTTGTATCTCTGCTTCTTACTGTATGTCTGTTTCTGTCTCTATGAAACCTGCTGGAGGTAACTTCCAGTTAAAAGGGAGTTTTTCCTCTCCACTGTCGCTATAAGCATGCTTAGTGTGAGGGATTGCCTTTGAGTCAATGAGTCGATGCAATCAACTGGTTTTCCTTACATAGAAAACTTTGATTATGGTCTAGTGAAATGTAGAGTGCCTTGAGTTGATATGTATTGTGAATTGGTGCTATATATATAAACTGAATTGAATTGAAATGAAATGTGACAATTAAGCCTTGTTTTCATAGCAAGACAGGATTAAAATAGCTTTAATAGTTATAACTAGGAAAGCCTAAAATTAATCTCTGCTAGAAGTCTGTTTGTACAATATGTCTGCCATAAGTGGATCTTACCTCAGCAATACAATATATCCTGGTGTTCCCCCGCAGGCAGAAATGAATGCTCCCAACACAGACAAAGCCATGTAGATTTTAAATTTACTGTCACATTCACTCCTTCTGGGACACTGGCCAAGAACAGCAGACATGTTTGCAGCAGGAGTCACAGAAATCCCAATGCAGGTACAATTGTGAAACACCTAAAGGTAACAAAATCATTATTATTTTGGTTGCAAAAAATGGAAACTGCTGTATGTGCTACTGATGCACAATATTAAAATATGTAATGTATTTTAAAATCAGTCTCAAATTTATGTTTAAAGGAGGGACTATTTTTTCCCCTGTTTGAACAGTTTTCGTTACATATTTAAAGACAAAGAGAAAATTTGTTAAGATTACCCAAATGAAAAACCTAGTAATAATGATTCAGACATTGCTTTTATTTCATTAATTTAAGATCAAATCTATGTTATTTCAAAAGTATAGTGGAGGATGTTCTTTTTCCTGGGTGGATCATCTAAGTGCATGCGCACTTTTATGTGCTGGGCTACGGTTTCAGTAAGTCATTGTATGAGAGAAAAAGTCTCTACGAAGTGAATGAGAAGAAGAGAAAGGTCTCAGAAGAGAGAAACAAGACCAGGCTGTTTTTTTGGGAGATTACCAACTTCGAAACAAACAGCTTTTACCCTAAAGAGGCCCTTCAGGCCGAAACTGCTCTTTATTGCATTAGTCATGTACCAATAAAGGCTTTTTGATAACTTTTTCCTGAGTGCCTCAGACTTATATATTTTCCACTAGGATGCCTTACTGAAGAGCACCAGAGGCTCAGGCTCAGTTTCTTTTGTCCTCCAGGCTAATTTAAAATTATAGAAAAGGCCATTTTGTATTAACCTTGCACTGCAAGCTTTCAGTCTTAGAACGAAGGCACCTTGAAAGACTCCCAGTAATAGGTCCATCTCTTAACAACCAGCGGGTTTGACCAATGACATGACATTGACCAATGACATGTTTTTGGTGCGGGAAATGCAGGAATGACGACAGTCACAAGCATCTTGCTGGGGCATTGAAAACATGGCTACGCTGGAAGACTCACCTGTCGATACCACAGTTGACTTGGTTTTCATTAAAATAGTAAGAACTTGTCGTATAAAAAAGTAGCAAAGAGAACCACTTTGTGCATATCTAGATGAGAATGATGTCGGTGCTTTCTGCCCACACGAGTTGTCCTTGCAAAGTTTTTTCATTACAGGGTTTACGATGTTCAAAAATCAACTTTGTGTTGCTCAAAATGACTTTTATGTGCAGGTTTGCTGTGCAATTTCTAAAAACATTGTTGCACGATGACATGATGACTTCAACATCAAAATTGGTCTACATTTCAGTAAACACGTCCCACCTGTCATTCCCAGCGCACATCTGAAACGTTATGATTCGCTGTTACGATTGGCTGAAAGCATATTATGTAAGGGCGGGTACTAGCTGGTACATCCCCCAATCAACTTGAAGTATTGTACTAAACGTCCCTGTTTTTCACAGACAGACTGAACGGCAGCCATCTCAGAACGATACCTAAAACTCAACTCAGTTCTACACATATCAAACTGGCTTCTGCCACGTTCATTTTTTATTTCATGTAAAGAATCCAAAGAACTCGAACCTAGTGCTAATTTCTGTAAAGAATAAAAAAGGAATAAAAAAACTGACCATTGCTTTTCCTGTTCCAGTGGAGGTCTGACATCCAGCCAGGCAGGGTGAAGCATATGTCATACCATTATAGGAACACACTGGATCCCAGTGCTTCACTGAGCAGGAGCAGCCAGTATTGCATGGTGCCAACAAACTTGAGGGATTGTTGGATACTTGAGTAACACTGGTGCAAAAAATACAGGCAACATATTTATGAGAATATCTATGTATTAAAAAATAGAGCAAAAAACATTAATTATAAAATCGACGTTTGGTTGTGTGTAGTTGTGCACAACTCACCCTTCATATGCAACAGTCAAACCAGCCACATCTGCATTGCCACAATGAAAGAATCCCTGCAGGGAAAGCATACAAAAGGATCCAAGAGATGCAGCGATGGAGACTCTGGCAGCTCCAACAACACCCAATTTGAAACGCTTCAAGACAAAACCACCAGTAATGAAACCCAGAGCAACTGCGGGGAGGTTCATAATGCCTGGGTGGGAGATAGATAAAGAGACAGTTCTTTTATTCTGCAAAGCACTGGTCAAAGCACTGTTGCTTGTAAACATCTATGAAATAAAGCAACTCTAATTAGCATTTTTTTAAATAGTTTTGTTTGTAATTTTAAAGCGTTCACTTTTATAAAAAGCAATGAAATGCAAAATATAGCTACTGCCCTTGTAAAAAGCACAAAGGGAAATCTGACATACTTGAGTCAGCATTACCACATAATCAGAGTTCCCCTTAACGACATTGTTTCAAATGGAGCAACATAGGTTGGGAGAATGTACCTATAATAAAATTAGCTCTGGATGCCGCCTGCCCATAGATCTGCTCCATGAACTTTGGTATGAAGGTGATCATACCAACAAAGGCATTGACTGCAACCAGGTTGGTGAGGATTATCATTGAGAAGATGGTGTTCCTGAAGAGTCTTTTCAGTGATGGAATAAAATCTTGGAAACAACAAACCATTGAGGCAATTACTCTTGTATGAAAATTTACACCCTTATTTATCTCACTTTCCGTATTCTAAAGACCAAATTCAAAAACGAAGTTACCTTTAACCATTTCTTTAAATGTGACTGTCTTTTCTTTGTCTTCTGCATTTTGGTTTTCATCTGGCAGGAAATTCTCCTGCTCTGGCCAAGAGGTTAACTCTGTACTTTTGTTGCTGCTATCTTCCTCTCCTTGTTTGGGCAAAGACTTAGGCAGGAAAAAGAACGGGATGCTTGCCAGCAGAATCAGTGCGCCATTGGCGATGAAGCCAAGCCACCAGGCTCCCACCCACCGAGAATCCTTGTAGGTTATGGTGATGCTGTCTGGGTAAAAAGCAAAAAAATTATTGTTTTGTTACAACAAAAACCTTGATGTTATTAATTTAGGTATGCTTAATTTAATCTAGAAAGTTGAAATTGTTAAAATTTTAATTTAAGAAATTTAAATAGCCTCTGCAATCTCAGTTCTTACTTGGAGATTGCTCTCAACCCTTACAATCCAATATGGCTGCAACGCACATAGAACAGTTTTCTTTTTGCAAAAATAATGCTACAAAGTGTGAATACACTTTTCTGACATTTAGATTTAAAGCTGAAGTCTGTAAGTTTTTAAAAATCACTTTTTTGTCATATTGGCTAAAACTGTCCCTATGCCCAGACAGCAGTACATGTGATATTTAACCTGTGAAAAAAACTGCTTCAATTGGTCCCGCCTACTGCCTGTATTTCAATCTGGAAAGAATAATTCGGGACGAGTCAAAACAACCAATCACAGCCAGAGGAGCGTCTGATGGAGTGTCAATCACAGCTCACACGCTGAATCCCGACCCCCCCCCCCCCCTTCTGGTCGCATGCGGTAGCCGCGCAAATGCAGAGAGGGTGGGGGAGTGGCGTGAAACCTGTTTTTCTTCAAATTTTCAGTCGAAGTCTGCTCTCTCCTCAATGTTACAGACTGCAGTTTTAAGTTGTTATAGCTACGACCTTTTGTTTACCAAATTTCTCCTGTAACACCCATTGTATTGTAGGTAGATAGAGACTTTCCTTGAATGAACTTTTGATAATTGATATCAGTTGTTTTCAGCATTTTAGCAATACCAGGGGTCAAGCTGTGTTACTATATAGGAAGAATTAATATGGTCAAAACACGTAAGGAACAGTTCTTGCTGTGTCAACGGCCTCTCTTAACTTTTGCAGCATGACTAAGCGTTTCTAAATCATAAATGTTTAAGTCCGCAAAGGTTAACTATTTGTTAGTTGAAGCTAGTTGAAGTGCTGTTCAAAGAGAGAGAGAGAGAGAGAGAGAGAGAGAGAGAGCATATTTCTCACAAGCTTACTGAAGGTCTAGTCCTTTCATAGCTTATCAGCCATACTCTTATCTGTTGCCGTTTCACTCACAACACACAGTAGAAGATAACCTTTGTTTATCCAAGCTACTCAGTATAATTGGATTTCCAGAGTTACAAGTATCTTTTAATGATCCTTTTTTGATTTTGACCATTGTTATTATTACAGTAATAGGTTTCATACCTAAATCGACAAATCCAATGTCCACGTAGGTCTTGGCAAGGTAGGACCCTAGCATGAACCCAGCCATAGGACCTAACATTCCTGTTGTATAGATACAGGCTAGAACAAAAGAGGAAGAAAGGTGAACAGAAGTAAGCAATATAATATATTACAAACTTGAATGTTTCAAAAAATTAAACCTACTGTAATGCTTATGGTTTACATTAGGGTGTGACTCAGATTTTTTAGATTTTTCCATTTTATAACATTCCTCATCTTTCTTGCTATCTTTGGGAATCTTGGGCTGAACTTGGATAGGAAGTGGTTTGTTTTTCATTTGCGAATATTTTATTAATTGGTCAGTAATCACTACGTCCATACAAGCTGCCCTTTGCACTAAGCATGTGTTTATTCTTTGAAATTTTCAGTGGAAGTTTTTTGGTCATTGAAAAAGTTTCAGAGTGAAGACCTGGACACAAGTATTTTGTAAGCCCTGTGAGAATATGCCAGCTTGCTAAATGTTTGGCACAAATGGGGCTCGAGTTAGCATTTATTTTATAACGCCCTATTGGCAGTAAAGGTGTATTCAGCTTTTTAAAGCTATCTAAACTGTGTTTGATAACCTCTAGGTAAAAATCATTATGGGAGTTTTTACGGCACTAGTGGCTCGCTTTTATGGACAGTAGGCTTACAGGAAAGGGGGTATGAGAGAGGGGGAGAGACATGCGGAAAAGGACCACAGGCCAGATTTGAACCTGTGTCCCCTGAGTCGAGGACTAATGGGCTGGTTATACTCTCGCAGCAGTGTGTCGCAGTGAGCTTGTCGCAGGTATGACGTAGACATTTTTGTTTATGCTTAATTTGTGCTATGTTTATTCCATGCCACAACACAAAAGGGGAAAATCACGAACTAGTTGTGGGTCTAGATACGGCCAAGGTAGTGAAGAAGTGGAGGCAAGTTTGTCCAACAACAGATGGACATAAGGGCGAAATAGAGTGGGGATCCAGGTGGAAAAGGGACCCAGCGTTCTCGTGCACCTTGCTCTTCTAGCTCGTCCAACTTCACGAGTCATTTTCTGCAATCGCGGTCATACAAACAAAACAAGCCGGTAAGGTACCAAACAGGAGATATGCATAGTGTAGAGCGGATGCAGATTTGACCAATCAGAGGCCTCCTGTCTGCGGTACTGCCTGCAGTGACATACAATTTGAGAAAAGGTGCAGCAGAGTGTGTGCGGAGAGGGCAGGGACGTCTCTGCATTGACCATGACACCTATGCAGATGACCTAGTTTCGAAGTATAAATCAGCCTAAAGGCCTCCATACGTGGGTCGTATGTGCTATCCACTGCACCCCCAAAGCACTTCTCAAATATTTTAATGCATCCATTCAACAACTCAAAGGTATAAAATGATTGACTTTATACCATGCCTCTGCAGGCCTGAATAAAATGCAGATTAAGGGAATAAAGTAATTTGATTAGGACTTGGGCATCCTTACTGTATGTCTAATGCCAATTTTGACCATAGCATGAATCAGGATCAGGGTCTGGTATCTGGGATATCACTTCAGAGTTGGAGAGTAAACATACAAAACAGTCCTAAACCTAAGAATTCTAGTCTTAACAAGGATTCTTAGGAAGAAAATCTACTATTAAACTTTAGATTTGTTTCAAACTTTCATTCTGTTTGTGAAAGTTCAAAGAGAGTATTTTGTAATGCATGAGAACAGGGGTCTCCACTTGACATCCTCACTGGTCATTATGCTATGTTTAGATGCATTTGTTTTCTAACACATATAAAGATTTTTTGAGCTCTTGTTTATCATCCAATCTCAATAGCTGGATGTAAGGTTATATCTCTAATTATGACACAAAAGGTTAGTCTAAGATGGTTTGACCAAACGTGAGCAGTGTGCAAAGACAAGCAAGCAAAATGCAAATAATGAAGATAAAACAAACCCAAATAGAAGGGAGTATTCTCTTGTCTAGAAAAGTCATCCAGATAGGATATCCCCAATGGCATGGAGGGAGTCTCTCCAATTCCACGGAGCATGTTTCCCAGGAAAACGTAGATCCACATGGACGAGCCAGCTGCCTTTTCACAAGCTGAGAGAAAGGAATCTGTCTTTAAACCTAATGCAGTACTGTCTGTGTAGATATAGGATCATTTCTAAAAAGGAACCTCTATAAACAATAATAGCTACCCTTAGTGGCTGCTACATCAGGGGTCTCATCCTTCTCTGTCAGGCTGTGGTTGGACAAACATGGTAAGAGGTTTTCACTGCCGTTCACTTGGGTGTTGTGGGACATACTTGTCTCATATTTATACCTAGAAGAAAAAGGTTTAATATCAGGGATTTGGTTTAAATCTCTCATTTTATGACTTACATTTTTGTTCATTTTGCAAATAAAAAAGATTGGAAAGAAAAGGAAAACCCTGTAAAGAATGTTTAAACGACAGTCTATAACCAAAGCCTTTGATTGTAGTAGGAGATTGCAGTGCCTTGGAAATTTGTTCTCTCCCGCTCCCTTTTATTTACTTTACAGTTTCAAATTCCATTGTATTTTAAAACGATAAATTTTTACATGTACAAATAAAATGGTATGGTATTTGCATTTCTTACATTAATGTTTTTTTTTTTTTCAATCTTCCAAACAGGTCAAGTTTTGTGGGATGGGAGACCTGTGCTTTCTGGGGCTTCTCCTAAGTTAAAAAAGGAGCTATCCCTGATGTGTTTGTTGTCCTTTAAGATGGTGTTTGTTCTACTAATGTACCATCACACTTCTGAGGCCATAAAATAACAGCTAGAGTTACACAGAATTAAAATTTTACACAGATGACTGATGTTTTTAGGTGACTTCTAAATATAACTACTGTAGGGGCATCAGAGCAATGGGAGCCTAATACATAGACATTCCCCATGTTCCTGTGTTTTATTTGCAAATAACTTATATACCATGTATTATCCCCAATCACTGTGCTATTGTTGGGTCTATACACATTAACTACCCCTAAATATATTGACGTTTATAATGAACAAAGCCTATATGTGTTTTTACATCTAATACATTTGTTTGATATTTATAAATATCTTTCAAAGCCACATTGGTTTCAGTCATATATAGACTGCAAAAACAATCTAAAAATTTGTAAACATTTCTTAAAATAAAAGTATTTACCCTTCATTTGAAAAGGCAAATAAGATGATATATAAATAGAATGAGTATTTTTACCCTTAAAGAAGTTAAAACAATAGACTGCAGTGGTCTTTTTCTTATTTTAAAGGTCTTTTGTCATATTGCATCACAATAGTGGGTCCATTTCAAGAAGCAGGTTTATTGAAAACTAAGTTTTCTAAACCTGAAATCAGGGAAATGAGTTTTCCGACTTTAAAACTTAGTTTTAAAAACAAACATTGCATATTCCTTTTACTGGGATCTTATTTTAAAGAATGAATGGCATTATTTCACAGAGAATTACATATTGTAGTTGACAGGATATGAGATTTATTTGTTTTTGGTTTGTTTAATATGAGCGACATGCAGATCATTTTTTTATTTTTATAATATATGAAGAGTTCCTCAAATTATTTTCAGATTACACATAAAAAGATTAATTCCACCAGGGAAAAGGGAATTACTTTAGGGTTAGGATTAGGATTTACTCTATGATAGCAACCTACTGATTCTACTGGCATAATCTGAAGGCATTCTATAGGACTGATAACCGCTAATAACGGTCATTTATTGAGATGATAACAGCTGTATTTACAGTGTGATAAAAGACAGAATCAAACTGAGGAGTAACAACATGAGATGATGCACAGGTCCTTTCTATAAGAGCAACATTTTTTGAGTTGTTGCCAGGTGATTATACCTAAATAGATATATTTATCCTTTACCATTCAAGAAATAAACCTGTAATATTATCGTGGTTACAACAGACTTCACATCTAGAATAACCATTCTGGATGTCTAGAAATGAATTTCACAACTCCATATTAATGTTGTTACTGCTCAGCTTCTCGATTATTTTGACTATGAGGAAATATATTTCAGATATCATAAAAAAATATTCAGTCAAGCTGATAAATGTTAAAACAGTCACTTAAAATCTGTAAACATTTCTAGGTATATTAAACTTAATTCTTAATAATATATATATTTTTTTTAACTTTCTGAAATTCAGTTTCTGCTGCAAAAATGTAATGTTGAAAATATATTATTACAGTTTAGTCTAGGCGTGTGATTGTGACCAGAAATAATCTTATTTTAGTGATCTACAAATGGAAAAATAGAGAGGAGACTGCTTTTAATAAATGTAAAAACGGCTTGCCATAGTCCACTTCATATAAACGTATGCATTAACTCAAAAAACAACCTTCTTCTTCGCCATCTTCCTCTACTTTATAGCTGTAGAGCTGTTTCTTTACAGCTACAAAGTTTTTTAAAGACATTCTACTTTTTTTTATTTTTAAAATCTCTAGTTCCAGTGGGGGAAATAGGAACTCCCTGTTGCCTGTCGTCATGGTGACTTGTCGAATCGGGGCTCCACTTATAATCGCTTTTCATACTTGTTACGCATGTGCTCAACTCTAAATGGACCTACAGTACTTAAAGTGATTGAACTAATTCATAGCAGCCATTGCACAACCGGAAACTCAGAATTTCCGACATAAGGCTAGATTAATTTAGAGTTGCGTATTTGAATCTGAATTTGTTAAACCTGCTTTGTGAAACGAGCCCAGTGTCTCTCCAGTTCAGTTGAAGAAAAAAAAACTGACAGATTTTCTATTAAATATAACACAACACAAGCCAGAGAGATGAAAAAATATGAAAGAGAAAAACAAAAGATTACAGAACTGTATACTAACGGTCCCTGTAAGAAGTGTGGTAGTGCTACAATAAAGGATCCAGTGGCCATGATCAAACACCCGATACCGATCAGCCTGGGCCGATGCAGCTTTGCACCAAAGTAGCTCACAAAGGCGATTACCAACAAGTTTCCTGTGAAGGGAAAATGTTAAACATCATTAAAGGAATATTAAATTCAATGTGTCAAACCATATATTTTTTATTAAAACAGTAAAAATTGCACAAACCCATTTCAAAGCTGCCATCTATGACCCCAATCAGAGAGCTGGGGATGTCAAAGCGTCTTTCAATCTGAGTGATGGAGCTCTTCATGTAGCCTCCACCAAAAGCCTTGGAAAAATACATAAAGGCCAGGGAGACCAGGAAGAGCTGCAAGACCATACCCAACATGTTAATATAATAACATTTCAATTCTTGAAGATTTGTTCCAATGTTTTTCCTTAACAACATGTCAAATATCTGTTTTTGTCTTTTTATTGATAAGATTAACACCAAACACCGACAGGGTTCTGCACTTTGTTTAGGTTTCTTTTTACGTTTTTAGTTTCACTGAAATTTGTGCCTTTGTACTCGTTTTCTGGCAGTGCTGTGTTTTTGTGTTACTCTTTCTTGCCCCCTTGTGCCAGTCTCTTTTCTCCTTGGCTCCTTTCTAGCTGCTTCTGTCCACACCTGCTCCCGATTAACTGATTACTCCACTCTTGGTTCTGTCTCCTCTATCTAATCAACCTCTGCAGTTCATCGCTGCTGGTTTCTCCTCATTACGCTCCTCAGGTGTGTTTTTCCCTAGTGTCTTGGTTTTTTCGATTTCCTGTTTATTGTTTTTGGATTTATGCTTCTTTTACTATTTGTTCATTCATTAAATCAGCAAAACTCATCTCTGCATTTGAGTCCTGAACCAACCTCCACCCAACCTGACAAAAAACGTAACCCACAAAGGTCCTAATGAAAGAGTACCAACCAAGTTGCTCTACAAGTTGTTCAGTTTTGAATTGCACTTTTAAGCACTTGCATGGCCAGATTGCAAAATATGCCAAAATCTCCTCCCATCACAAGGCAACTTCAAAGCGGCATCCTTTCTTCACCATCAAAAGGAGTGCCAATTTTTTGCAACTGTTGACTTCTGTAAATCAGAAGGCAGAATCCGGGACTGCAATACAATGTAATTCATACATAATTTCTACAAATCAGGTTAGGCTTTATCAGATATGGAGATTTTTTAAATAAATATGCCCAAAAAGTATGGCTGTAACATCAACCACAAAAACAAACTAAAAAGACATAGAATTTTAATAATTTCATTTCTAAAATATTAACCTCCGTAAAAAATTTTAAATTATTTCAAAGCATCTGGAGGCCTCATTAGTACAGGTAGCAGAATTTTGAAAAGTTCTTGTTTTGGAATGTTTACAGCAAACATTAAAAATGTTAATTAAAATATATGAATATATGTCAATTAAACATTTTAATTGAATGGTTAATCTGACTTAATTTTATTTATTAATGTTTTTTCCGGTTGTTTTTAATCTCTATCTATGGTGAAGCTTATAAGTGACACATTTTTTCTCCATTATTGTTTATGTCTGATATGTTATGCATGTTTTAAGCAAACATAAAACTGCTCTTAAATAAATTAAATAAATACATAAATCTTTTTAAAAAATGCCAAAAAGTTAGAACAGCCATTATAAAGCTTTACTTTAGCCACCAAGATTTTGTGGAGATTCACAGCAATATTATGCATACGTATTTTAACGACCATTAGGCGCACCGTACTAAAAGGCGCAGTCTCAGTTATGTGTCCCATTTCTGTATTTAACACACACATAAGGCGCACCGGACTATAGAGCGCATTTTTTATATACAGGTACATGTCCTCTACTACCTTTAAATAGCTCTACTGCGTATTTTAAAAATACAGCGGGCCCAAAACTGAGTATGACTGTGCTTTATTCATGTATTTATTACAAAGTATTAATCAAACCTGCGAGCTGGTCATGAGACAGACACATCGCAGATGACACAGCGCTGTGATCACTCCTAAATTAACTTAAAATCCTGAAACCTGCCGACGGAATATGTTCGCTTTTATTGCCGGTATCCTGGTGCCTGCAGTTTAAATTATTTAGATGAAAAACACCTGCCAGCCGCCGCGGTGAGGCTGCTGTTGAAGGGATTTCTGCTGTCGGTGCACCGCTGGTATGTGGGGGTCTGAGCGCCTCCGACAGAAATAGATAATCTGGATGAACTGACTGCAATTAAGTTTTCAGGTGGCCTTTCTCACTTAAAAACATATTAAAACTACTTTATTCCCACTGATCACAGCAAATATAGCTGCAAGATTTAGATTATTTAGATGAAAAAACACCTGCCAGCCACCGCGGTGAAGAGGAGACCCGCCCAGAGGCTGCTGTTGAATTAAGTTTTCAGGTAGAAAAATAGAGCGGGAGCAAAACTGAGTATGTTTGTGCTTTATTCATGTATTTATTACAAAGTATTAATCAAACCCATCAAAGTCATCATCCTCTGTTTCTGAATTAAACAGCTGCGCTAAATCAGACATGACAGTTTCCCATTCTTCGCTGTCAGAGTCACTTTCCGTGCAGCGCGGCTCCTCAGAAATAATGCCGGCTTTTGCGAAAGCTTGAACAACAGAGCCAGCAGACACGTTAGTCCAAGCATCTACAATCCATCCGCAAACGGTGGCTTAACTTGCCCGGCGCTGCCTTCCACATATCCTGAAACTGTGGTCTCAGTCTGTCATCCATCGCTCCCACGCCGCTCGCAGCCTTACTTTGAACGGCCGCTTCACACCGATGTCGAGCGGTTGAAGTTCCTTTGTCAGACCCCCGGGATAACGGCGAGCACAGTGTTCATTTGATTCACCTTTTTTTTTCACATCGGCTGTGAGATGGGCACGCAGCGATGGTGATGCGTGGAAAAAAGCACCTGGTCTCCTCACATACACCTGCCTTTCATCATCTCCTTTCATTTGCGTTAATATCATATGTCATCAGAGCGCTGTGTCTGTCTCGCTGTCAGCTCCCAGATCAGCTTCTCTGATTGGTTGATGCAGCGCGTCCAGCAGCAAAACTTCTATTTTTCCATCTCGAGCAGCAGCAGCGCGTTGGCGGTGCGTCAGATGCTTAAACGCTCCCGACGTGCTGCACCTGCAGCTCAAAACGCGCTCGGGACCTTTTGCTGCACCTATACACGTGTCAACCATTGACTTTGCATGTAAACTCGCTGCTTCTGCTGCACCTGCTGGGTCCGGTTCACACCGATGTCGAGCGGTTGAACAGCGAGCACAGCGTTAATTTGTTTCCCCATGTTTTTCACATCAGCTGTGAGATGGGCACGCATGGAGTTACATATTAACAGCGATGGTGATGAGTGGAAAAAAAAAACACCTGGTCTCCTTACATTCAGCCACTCTTTCATCATCTCCTCAATGAGGGGGTCTCAAAAGTCGCAGTTACAACACACATAAGGCGCACCGCACCATAGGGCGCACCGCACATTTTGAGGGAAAAAAAAGACGTTTAAGTGCGCCTTATAGTCGTGAAAATACGGTAGATCTCTGCTGTATTGTTTATTATGAGATGTGATAAATAGGAGATATTTCATCCTAAAAATTACCCATGAGTTGCAGCATTTAATTTATTTTCTTTGGGATTAATAAAGTATTTTTGAATCTTAAGTTGAATTGAACATTTATCATATAAATAATAAATAGAGCAACCCCTATCTTCTTCCACTTTAGATATCTACTTTTACTGTAAAGGAATATGGACAACCATGAGCACCCCGATCAGAAGACAGTTAAAATACAACAGACATCTACAGTCAGAGGCTTTTCCAGAAGCAGTGAAAGACTGACAGCAAAACCTTATGAGTTACAACAATTAATTTCCTTTGGAATCAATAACGTATTTTTTAATATACTTTATAGATTAATTAAACTCAGACAGACTCAGAGCAGTCTATAAACAATAATAACCCTAATGTAATTTCAAAGCAAACACTAACTAAATTACTAACCTTGAGCTTGGAGCAACATCCCTCGCGTGTTTTTTTAGACTCTACACTCATGATGCCAATATGGACTCAGATTGTGAGGAAAGAAAAAATAAATACCACCAACAAACCCTGTGAAGAAACAACAAACTTTAGAATGTAACATTTTAAAGCAAATTATAATTGTTTTCTTCTAAAAACAGATTTAAAGACGTTTCCGCGTTTATTATGTTTTTCATTTAAGAAATAATACTTTAAAACTATAAAAACATTGAAATTTGGAAGATTCAATTGAAGAAAATCTGGTGCATTTACCTTGTTTCTTTTAACATAAATCAAATATTATCATAAAGTTAAAAAAAAGAAAAAAAAAAGAAATAGATTTTTAGGTCCTCCTAGCTGATTAAGATTATTTACATGCACAATTGTTATACATATGAAATGGCATTAGTGTTAAAGCGTAATAATAAACACATCAGTGGGGGAAAAAAAGAGAAGAAAACAGTCAACAGGCTTTTACCTACCTCTGGATCAACGATGTGACAGCCCAGTGTCAATGATCCGAGCTATTACAGTGCTGCAAGTGGGACTTTGAGCTTTAAGTCTTATCACTACATTATATCACATGTAATCAGTAACTCAGGCACATGTGTTGATCATGTCAAGAAAAAGTCATCCAACCCTAATGCAAACCAAGATGCGCCCCAAAAAAGAAAAAAAGCGGTGACTCCAATTTTTCAGTTAGGAGAACTGTCGGACTTCAGAGGTCCTACGGGTCCAAGCGCACGAGGCGCGCACACCTTCCTCTGTGAAACATCACAGGCCTCCACAGCAGCCATCCTCTTTGGAGACACAACAAACAGCAGCAGCATGAAGCTGGCTGGTTTATTGTAATACCAGCTCACTGTTTCTGTTAGTTTGCCTGTTTCAAAGAAGGGAAATCCTTTCCTCTTCAGGAAAAATATCAGCTCTTGCAAAAGAGGGTGTTTCCAATCCAAAGCCTGATCAAAGTCTTCCTGAACCATTGATGACCGTGAACAATAGCTTTCTCTCGAATGGCCCCGGTACATCCCATCACTTTATCACTTTAGTTTTACAGTATTCACAGGAGGCTCGTTTACTTACAGCTCACAATATGTGGCATGTCCGTCTCTAAAAGAGGGTTTTAATGTAAGGACTTCCTAAATGCATCTTTTTGTGGGAACAGGCTGTTGTCTACAACATTCCACCGTGACTGTTATGCAGTTTAGATTAAAAAACAAACAAATCAGCAGTTCTGTTAAATCATTTTTGCCTTTATAAATGTTCTGGGTTTTTTTGTCAGCCTTTGATTTTTGTTTTTGGCATCTTTAAGCTTACCTAATGTTGTTAGATAGCTATTTATACATATTGTTGTGTTTTACAACGCATGCCTGTGTATGGCCAGTGAAACTTAGGAAGGGTTACTATGTTGTTCTCATAAGGAGGCTGTTTTATTTTCCTCCTTAAAGGAATAGTACACCCAAAACATGATTAGCCTTCATTTTCTACTCACCTCCATGCTGAACAACACTCTGGAGTACTTTTTTGATATCTCAAATGCATCTGGAGATCTGGGAGGCTTCTTGCTGTCTGCTGACATTCAAATAATGGAGGTCCATGGCGCCCGAGACAGAAAGGTCCATAAAAGTCCACAAAAACGTGTCAATATTCCTCCATACTGCTCGTCCAATGTAATCCAAGTGTCCTGAGTGGGTAGCATCCAGAATTTACTCGAAACGAAGTCATTTAGAATGTTTTTAGAGCATAAACAGTAGTGTATAGGATTTCCTAATAGCGCCCCCATGCGCGCTCACGATTCTACGGAAGCCGGCAGACCAAACCGGAAGGAAGTGCGCATTCAGCGTCTGGTCTGCCGATAATGCAAGCGTAGAAGAAGAAATGTGCTGTTTACCTGTGCAAAGAAAGAAACAACGAAAGAAAAATGTCTGAGGACTTCAGTGTTGAGGAAGAGCATGAGTTCTTTGCCGAGCTGAATGCGCTGGTTTGGTCTGCCGGCTTCCGTAGAATCGTGAGCGCGCATGGGGGCGCTATTAGGAAATCCTATACACTACTGTTTAGGCTCTAAAACGTTCTAAATGACTTCGTTTCGAGTAAATTCTGGATGCTACCCACTCAGGACACTTGGATTACATTGGACGAGCATTATGGAGGAATATTGACAAGTTTTTGTGGACTTTTGTGGACCTTTCTGTCTCGGGCGCCATAGACCTCCATTATTTGAATGTCAGCAGACAGCAAGAAGTCTCCCAGATCTCCAGATGCATTTGAGATATCAAAAAAGTACTCCAGAGTGTTGTTCAGCATGGAGGTGAGTAGAAAATGAAGGCTAATCATGTTTTGGGTGTACTATTCCTTTAATAAACGAAATCATCCTTTGATCTTTTAATAAAATAAAAAAAACTAAATCAAACATGGAAACCAAAAACAAATATCAGGTAATTATGAACAAAAAATTATAGTTAAAATAGATAAATGTACAATAAATATACAGAGTATATTTAAAATATACAATATATGAATTGATTACACGCATAACAAACTTACTTATTATATTCTATAAAAAGACCAGATCCATTTTTGTTGCTGTTAAGTCCCGTAATATGGAACTAAAATAAATCAGAAAACTAACTTTTGTACATTTATTTAGCGTGCTACCTGTTTTCATCAGGTTGTATCGATACCCGATATCGATACCAGTACCGGACGAGGCACCGATCCAGCACTAAAGTGGTGGTATCTGTAATGTGAGTACCAACAAATAGGGCACCGATACCATTTTGAGAGCCAAACGTTTTTTCAGCTATTGTCACCCATTCCAGGTAGGCAAAAAAAAGTTTTATTGGATTCACTTTGTATTAGTCTTTTTCCTGCTTCACAGAAGTAGGCAGCAGCTTGACAAAGCCATGATGGCAATTATTTTCTGTCAAAGTAGTATTCAGTTCTTCATATATACACACACACATCAATTTCAAACAGATGGTATCGGTATGGTCTCGGTATCGACCAATACTGCACAGCCAGGTATCAGGTATCGTATCGGGGCCAAAAGAAGGCAACAATAGTTGTATCACAGCTGGATCTGTGAGCATATATCTTTCTTAGCCCTTGCTCCTCTCTTTTGCTCCCTTCTGTCCATCTAAGTCCTTACGCTGCTGGTTGTCCGTATCTTAGAACACAGATTTTAGTCTCAGAGACACTTATTTTAGTCTATAAATGAGAGAAAAACTTAGCACCAAACTGCTGGCTCAAGTAGTCTATGAACCTAGAAACAAAAAGCTGAAATCCTCAATCAAGATGTTTAAAACCTGTTCATTTAGGGTTGCCTTAATTAATCTTTTCATTATTTATTATAATAACTTCATCACATTAAATATTCATTTTTAATAACCTTATTACTTTTAATACTCTGTTTATCATTTGATCTTATGATGCCACTGCAATGTAGTTTTCTCTGTGTTTTCCTGTTATTTTTTGCTCTTATAAAACAGTTACAATTCAATTCAGTTTATTTATATAGCGCCAACTCACAACACTGTCATGATGGGTTATGGATGCTAGCCCATATGCAGAACACAATGGAGGCTGGGTAAAAGTTTAACAGAGTTTATTAAAGGTGAAGAAACAAAACACAAGATCATGAACTGGATCTGGAACTGGTCCAGGCTGGTTCACTTGAAGTCTTGACTGGGACCAGAGACTGTTGGTTAGGAGAGTACACAAGGAGCTACAGCGTCTAGCTTCAGACTTAGCATGGCAGACCTTGATCTGAGCTTCCAGCTCTTCACAGAGAGCAGCTGGGGTTATCCACATAGGAATCTTCAGGTTGAATCCACATAGGAATCTTCAGGTAAATTCCACATAGGAATCTTCAGGTAAATTCCACATAGGAATCTTCAGATTGGCTCACCAGGGCTGATTGGCAGGTTAAGCTCACCCAGAGCTTCAGGCTAGAGACAGGTTTCCTGTGAGGCAGCTCACCCAGAGCTTCAGGCTAGAGAAAGGTTTCCTGTGAGGCAGCTCACCCAGAGCTTCAGGCTAGAGACAGGTTTCCAAACTAAGATCAACACTTCGGCGTAGAAGCAAGGTCTGGCAGGTGTTTATAAAGGGAAGGTCTCCTGATGAGTAGATGCGTCTCAGGTGTGCTGGAAGACTCCAGCCCTAGGAGACCCATGGCGCACTCTGCTGGAGACAGAAGGTAATTTCCAGATCCCAACAGTAACTCCAGTCCTAAAAGAAAAAACAACAAAGAGCAGAAGAGGATCCTCGGCGCCCTCTGGTGGGCAAGCCTGAGGATCCCAACAGAGCCCCCCCCCTCAAGGGCGGATTCCAGACGCCCTCTGAAAAAGTCCAAAAAATAAACAAAAAACAACCCACCCAGGGCGTGCGGAGGGGGAAACAGGCCAGGAGGGCAAAAAACAAAAAAAAACTGAGTCCAGAACAAAAAAAAACGATCCACTTACGGTGGATGAAAACAAAAGAAATCCCAGCGGCTCCGGATCAGGAAAAGGGGAGCCCGCCGATTGCGGCTCAGGGTCAGGAACAGGGGGGCCCGCCGATTGCGGCTCCGGGTCAGGAACAGGGGAGCCCGCCGATTGCGGCTCCGGGTCAGGAACAGGGGAGCCCGGCGATTCCGGGTCAGGAACAGGGGAGCCCGCCGATTGCGGCTCCGGGTCAGGAACAGGGGAGCCCGCCGATTGTGGCTCCGGGTCAGGAACTGAGGGGACCACCGACTGTGGTTCAGGGACAGGCTCATAGGAGACTGCCACCTGCGGCTCCTGGACGGGAACAGAGGAGCCCGCCGATTGCGGCTCCACGTCAGGAACAGGGACGACCACCCACTGTGGCTCTTCATCAGGAACAGGGGAGACCACCGACTGTGGCTCCACCTCAGGAACAGGAGAGACCACCAACTGTGGCTCCACCTCAGGAACAGGGGAAACCACCGACTGTGGCTCCACCTCAGGAACAGGGGAGACCACCGACTGTGGCTCCACCTCAGGAACAGGGGAGACCACCGACTGTGGCTCCTCCTCGGGAACAGAGGAAAACGCCCATGGAGGCACATGTTCAGTCTCTGAAGTGGCTTGAAGCGCCTGTAGAGGGCTCTTGGCGATTTGTGGCCCCTGCTGAGAGGCTCTTGGAGGCATATTTCCACCAACTCCAAACTCTGAAGCCCTTTTAAATGTATGCTCAGGGGTCTCTGGACGGCACAGGGCAGGCTCAGGGGTCTCTAGACGGCCCAGAGCTGACTCAGGGGTCTCTAGACGGCACAGAGCTGACTTACGGCGACGCCGTTTCTTACGTCGAGGGGTCCTTGGAGCTGAGCTAACAGGTTTGATGACTGATTCTGGCAACAAGTTAACGGGTTGAAAAATTAGAGTTCCAGAATGGATTACTGGTTCAGAGGCTAGAAAATAAGGCATGGGAACAGGTTCAGAAACAAAGGTGACGGGTTCAGGTGTCTGATCAGGCTGGTGGGGGACTCTAACTGTTTGAGGTGTAACTTGTGGGCCTATTTTGAGTCCTTTAACAGATGGAGCTAAGTGAAGATCAAGTATATGTGAGCTGAGACTGACCTGGCGCAGAAGGGAACTGGAATCCTGAGTCTGAAGCTGGACGGCTCTGGATCTGGTTTGCAGTTCAATATCTAACCCAATAGCTAACTCTATGAGATCCTCAAGGTTAGCTGGCTCATCGAAAAATGCTAGCTCATTCCTGACTGGTTCATTTAAAGCAAGGAGATAAGCGGTTTTGAGCGCAGACTCATTCCACCCGGAAGCGGCTGCTTTAACCCGGAAGTCAAAAGAAAACTCGGCAACTGATCTATCTCCCTGTTTAATTTCAAAAAGTTCACTAGAAATGATGGACTTATTAGTGACTTGATTAAAGGTCCTTTCAAACTCCTGGATGAATCTCCCACAAGTACAGTTAAAACTAGTTTCAAACGGAAATCTGGTCTCCGCCCATTCAAGGGCTTCTCCGGACAGGAATGACACGACAAAAGCTATCCTACTCTTATCATCAAGAAAACTCGACTCATAAAACTCAAAAAATAGCTGACACTGGAACAGAAATCTCCTGAACTTACTTGGGTTGCCGGAAAATCTCTCAGGCAGTGGCTGGGTTCTGACCAGAAAGGAAGATTACTATCTTGAACAGGAAGTGACGTCACTGCCGGTGACCTAGGAGGCGGAAGTGGATCCGGAACTGGACGTACTGCTGGCGTGGCGTTAGCATTACCCATGTAGCTGGCATAAGTTTGAAGCATTTGATTCTGGTGTTCAAATTTAGTATGCAACTCACGGAGGGTATGCGCATGTCCAAGGATCTGAGCGTCCTGTTCCTCAAGCCTCCGACGGAGGTGATCTGCTGGGCTTTGTGTTTGGCCGCAGTGTTCTGTCATGATGTCATGATGCTAGCCCATATGCAGAACACAATGGAGGCTGGGTAAAAGTTTAACAGAGTTTATTAAAGTTGAAGAAACAAAACACAAGATCATGAACTGGATCTGGAACTGGTCCGGGCTGGTTCACTGAAGTCTTGACTGGGACCAGAGACTGTTGGTTAGGAGAGTACACGAGGAGCTACAGCGTCTAGCTTCAGACTTAGCATGGCAGACCTTGATCTGAGCTTCCAGCTCTTCACAGAGAGCAGCTGGGGATATCCACATAGGAATCTTCAGGTTGAATCCACATAGGAATCTTCAGGTAAATTCCACATAGGAATCTTCAGGTAAATTCCACATAGGAATCTTCAGATTGGCTCACCAGGGCTGATTGGCAGGTTAAGCTCACCCAGAGCTTCAGGCTAGAGACAGGTTTCCTGTGAGGCAGCTCACCCAGAGCTTCAGGCTAGAGACAGGCTTCCTGTGAGGCAGCTCACCCAGAGCTTCAGACAAGCTACAGGTTTCCAAACTAAGATCAACACTGCGGCGTAGAAGCAAGGTCTGGCAGGTGTTTATAAAGGGAAGGTCTCCTGATGAGTAGATGCGTCTCAGGTGTGCTGGAAGACTCCAGCCCTAGGAGACCCATGGCGCACTCTGCTGGAGACAGAAGGTAATTTCCAGATCCCAACAGTAACTCCAGTCCTAACAGAAAAAACAACAAAGAGCAGAAGAGGATCCTCGGCGCCCTCTGGTGGGCAAGCCTGAGGATCCCAACAAACACAAGTCATCTCAAGGCACTTTACAGTTCAACCAAATCATACAGTCAAATTGATTCAAAGTTTTCTATCTAAGGAAAACCAGTTTATTGCATCGACTCATTGACTCAAATACAATCCCTCACACTAAGCATGCTTGTAGTGACAGTGGAGAGGAAAAACTCCCTTTTAACAGGAAGAAACGTTTAGCAGAATCAGGCTCAGTGTGAGCTGCCATCTGCCGAGGCCGACTGGGGTTCAAGGAGACAGAAGCAGAGATACAAAAACCAGCTGCAAAAGGTGGCCCCGTCTAGGAAACACACAGCCAGGCCGACGAGCACCGAGCCAGCTCCCATGACAGAGGACGAAGAGAGCACATCCAGCCAGTCACGTTCAGAGAAACAGGACTACACTGGAAAATTTGAATAGTCCCTTCACTTAAATTGGTTAGATGAATAAGTTTCCCTCACCTGGACTAAATTCACACATGCACATGTGCAATATTTGGAAGCGACTATTGGAATAAGTAACTTTTCTCGGGAATTGCTATCAAACACCAGACGGGAGCAATATTATGCTTTTGGAACACTACAGCTGTTTTGGGGATTTAAGCCTGAGTGCTTTATTTGTCACAGTTTTAACCTTTTTCCTCAGCATTCTGAGTGGAGTATGAGCATATTTATGTAAGAGGCAAACTTTTGAAGCAATTTCTAGACATTTGACAATCATTACTGACATGCCATTTGCTCTTTTTAACCATGATGATTAAATACAAACTCAAAAACACTTTGATGAACTTTACTAATGCAAAAAAGGTAAAGAATTATGGAGGACGCTCTAACTGCTGCAACTATAACCTTATCGGTTGCCTTCTTCTGGCCTGGTAAAGACAAGTTGTATTTTTTCGGCGGTTACATGACTTGTGCAATATATATACTCATTACTCAACGTCCAGCTATGATTACGTGAAAAGCTATCTAACCATAAGAGCACTGGTGTAAGTACAGGAGTAAATAGTGCAGTCTATTATTTTAAATCCTGCTTTACTTAAACAATGCTGAAACAAGTTCTGGAGAATCTTAAGAATCAGTGTTCCCAATCTGTTCTATAACTAAAGGTGCTTAACATAGTGATATTTGAACATTGAAGTGATGACAGACAAAAGCATGAGTCTAGAAAACATGGACCCCCAAACACGTTTTCCTTTTATTGTTGTATTTATTAAACAAATGCATTACATTTTGCATATAGTTTTTTTGTATTTGTTGAAATAGAAGGTTTAAAAAAACACCCTTAAATGGGCCATTTTGAATACATTGAACACTTCAATGCAGGAAAACACAATAAATGATTCTTTCTCTTGTGATTTAAAGATTATTTAGTAATTTCTTGATAAAAAGATTCTTTTCAGTAACAAACATTTCCATCATTGATCAGTTAAATTGGAGTATAATAGAATCAAAGTTGAAGGTGCAAATACATTGATTGTGGTTGCTTCTCAGAGTGCACCACAAGCTCTACATTCACAGCTATTCACATGCTTGTAGGTATATCTCCTGGTAGTGAGATCAGAGCATTCCACCTCCAGCTCTCTGAACTCTGAGCTCTGCGCCTGGCAGCAGCTGTAGTCCTGCTCCACATGCAGGTATTCGCCTAAAGATATCCTGTTGAAGAGGAAAACATCAATGCAGAGACACAAGGAATGGTGGTAAACATTAACGTTCTGTGTGCTGGTTTTGAATAGCTGAACTGGGCTCCTCCTTACCAGGGCTTGGACGGACAGTGGCCCTCACACAGAGGTACTTCGATGACAGTGGAGCACTCATTAATAGTGACGTTCATTTTGGACAGCTTGGGTGCACAGGTCTGGTTACCTATAAAAAGCCAGAGAAGGAAGTTTTAATTTCTATTTATAATACAAACAAGTTACTACCAATGGGGCAATTTTAGGTATTGTATTGTTACTTGACTTACAGGTGAAGCAGCAGCTTTGGTTCTTCCTTTTACCCTGGAGAGCCAGTTAACAACAAGTCGTGATTAGATTAAATGATTACTGGATTAACTCATCCTTTAAATTAGCTATAAAAGGGACCCCCATTTTATTAGATAAAGGACTGAGTGACCTGCATTTAAAATGCTAAATAGGGTCAGAGCAGACTGTTCTTGCTGAGGACACTGAGGGCTTTTAGAAGGCAGGTTGAATTCGTAAAGACCTTCTATGACTCTGTTGTGGGATGAACCAATCTTTATGGAGCTTTCTGTTAGAGCAGCGGCTTATTTGTCGCTGAGATACAGTGAAGCGGCTGGATAAGCTGATCAGCAAAGCCAGCTCTGTGATTGGATGTCCTATGGATTTAGTGCAGGAGGTAGGAAACAAAAGAACCCTAACTAAAATTAAATCACTGCTGGATAATGTTTCCCACCCCAGACTGCTGCACTTTAAATGCACCAGGGAGCGTTATCACAGATCCTTCTTCCCAGCAGCTGTAAGACTTTATAACTATCACTGTTCCCAACAGCCTCAACAAGTTGTCACATTGATGCTGGTTTTTGCACAGTTTCTGCCTTAGCCAGTTAAAAAAAAACATATCTGGTGTTGCTGCTATTTTTTTTCATATATCCATTACTGAAAAATGTTAGAGCAGCAAAAATATTATAGCAAAAGTTTTCACACACATGTGGACCTTAAAAAAGTTTATAAAAATAACAGAATATGTGAGAGAGTTAAGAAAATAAACAAATAAACTAATGTACTCTAGATTGTTTTTGCAATATAAATACTGTGCATTTGGAAAGAATAAATAATCAGTATACAGCTGTCGACATATCCATCACGGAAAAATGTCTACAGCTGTATACTGATTATTTATTCTTATAATAACTGTTTTGCTGCTGTAACACCACAATTTCCCCATTGTGGGTCAATGAAGGGATTTTCTATTCTACTCTATTCTAATCTATTCTATTCTATTCTATTCTATTCTATTCTATTCTATTCTATTCTATTCTATTCTATTCTATTCTTTTGTATGAAAACTAACACTTAACACTTAGATAAAAAAAAGTCAATCTCTAGATATGGACATTCTAAAGAGAAATTACAGCATTTTACGGAAATACACGGACTCAGAAGGCCTTAATATAAATATATGCCTGTTTTTTTTCTGATTTGTATGTCTAAGAAAACACGAATTACAGTGCATTTATTGATAATCATATTCCATTAAGCACTGAGCTTAATGGTCTACTAGATAAACTTTTTCAACAAGTCCTTATGCACATAAATACAGACCAGTGTTAGAGGGCTAGTCTCCTGCAACACTTAAAAGCCTTTTAGCTTCAACACTTCTGCGTCCAATAAGGGTTCTGCATAGCTGGACTGGTAGCGAGGTAGTTTATCATTTGATTCAGGTTTGTAGGTCAAGGGGCTTATCAGAACATTGCAGGTCAACACCCCTGGATTTGAGTTTGGACTAGCGCTTTACTGTCTTAGACTATTGCAACAGCATTCTTAAACAAAGTAAAATAGAGGGTGAACTCTGTACAGACACTAAGCTGTGGTACCTCAGGACAAATCTCTGTTGGACAGACAGATTCACTCTGGATCCCCTCCTCAGTGCAGACGAAGGACAAGCAGGGTTCTTTCAGGTCTTTCCATGTGTCTCCCAACTAGGCAGATAAAAAGAGGAATACAAATATAGATGAAAATAGAGGGACAGATTTTAAGGATTTATTAATATAAAACAACTTACCCTGTATGTGGTTCCATGATAGCTGCAGGTCTTCTCAACTGTAAAATAAAGCAACAGTTTACTAATTAAAGCAAGTTATTGCAAAAGGTATTATTGGGAGCTGGTCTTTTTTTCTCATTGACACTACTCTAAAGTTTTACAACATTTATTAACATAAAATCAAAGCAAATATTCTCTAAAAAAGAACTTTTACTGTGTCAAACAGGAAACCAGTAGGGCAGCAGCCCCCTCTTGTGGTGGCTCAGGGGGATAACTTAGCTTTTAGCTGTATTGTTATTGATAATTAGGGGAATAAAATCTAATTTATTAATTCTAATATCTAAATGCACAGCTAGTCTCTGCAGAAACAAAGAAAAGTAAAAGCTTTAAGTTCCACTATGCTGATGAAGGTTCTCAGTCATCCAGGTCATAGTCATTCCGTAATACGGAAAACTTTAAGTTCCACAAGTCAATTTCCTATAAATTAGGAAACTTTACTCTTCCTTTTAATTCATGCTTGCAATCTGATAATAATTTTGGCATGAAAGTGTTGTAAGGAGAGAGTTTAACAGATTTTTTAATAGAAAAAACACACAAGATTGCATCTTTAAAAAGGAGCTTGGTAAGTAACATAAAATATTTTTCTAAATCAAACATGCAAAAATGTATTTTTGTGTTTAAATATAAAAAACAGAGAGAAATACATTGTTTATCTTTTCTGATTAATGAAGTATTTTTATTAAATTAAATTGAATTTGTACTGAATAACTTGCAATCAGAGCACTAATTCAACTTTTTATTGATGTGCTCAAATACAACAGGGACCTTGCGTAAAGCCACATTCCTAATGAATTGAATAAAAGACATTATTATTGCCATGACCTATTCCATCCTGATTTAAAGTAAGAAATTCTTGACAGCGTTGTAAATATTTAGGAAATACACATCTAATCTTGAACTACAGCCCTCTGGTTTCTTTGCACACTTTTTAAGGTTAATTGTAAGTTCTTACCACAAATCGGATCACCACAACAAGTGGTGTTCACCAAGGTTTCATTTGGGGAACAGACTGGCAATGGTAAAACAGGTTTTGGAACACACTCCTCAGCGAAGGTCTGATTACTACATATACACAGGTGGCAATCAGACTCCCAAACCTCTCCAGGCTGGAAAACAAAAACATTCATATGTTAGATGGTAGTTTTAGGTAATTAGATGTTAAAAAAAAATCTGCTAGAAATCCTTTTGATGCTTGCTTTGACAAAGCAACTCTTACAATCACTGAAGAAGAAAAACTTACAAACTTAGGCTCCCCGAGTGGTCCTTTACAATCTGAGTTTAAAGAAGAAACATTGTAATTTCTGGAAGAAGGCTGAAACAAAATTTCAAATACCGAAGTATAAAAAGTTGTACATACAAGGAAATTGATTCACACAAACATTTGAGTGGCTTCCTGCCCTGATAAGTCCTGGAGGGCAGAAACATCCGGAGCTGGTCTGAACCAGACTGGGCCCTGAGTTAACGACTCTAAATAAAAGAGAAATATCTTGATAAATCTTTGATAAACATTGAGAAAGAGCGAAGACAATAAGCATCAATCATGTCAATGTTTTTCACTGTATAGTGATTCACAGTTGGGGATTTAAGAGGGCATTAAATTAACACCATGTATCCAAGGCAACATAAATTATTTACACAACTAAAGTAATCAAAACAAATTTGTGGGTAAATTATGAGTGGAATAACATAATAACATAAAACTGTCTGTAATTGAAAAGCACACTCGGTTCCTATCAGTGCAAAGTTATATATTAGATTATCGGCCAATTAAAGTGTATCAAGATTCATTTTCATGGTGTCAAACAACAAACAGTCCTTGATAATCGACCCAACCACGCTCCACTGCTCATCAACACCTCAGCAGCACACAATTCCTGGGGGTGCACATCACAGACAACCTCACTGGGACTGTAAATACCACCTCACTGGTCAAAAATGCAAAAAATTTGCATGTACTTCCTGCGGACAATGAGGAGAGCCCACCTGCCCTCACCCATCCTCACCACCTTCTACAGAAGCACCATAGAGAGCATTCTGACCAGCTGTGTGTGGTGTGGAGGCTGGAAGAAGGTGAGGAGAGTGGTGAGAACAGCAGAGAAGATCATCTGGGCCCCTCTTCCCTCCATTAAAGACATTACATCCCAGCGCTGCATGTCCCGAGCCAGTTACATAATCAATGACCCCTCACACCCCTACCATGGACTGTTCTCCCTGCTGCACTCTGGGAAGAGGCTTCACAGCATCCTATGCAGGTCCGGCAGATTCTGAAATATCCTTTTCCCCACAAAACTCTAAATGATGTCACAGACTCTGCATCAAACTGCCCATATCAATAGGTTTTTTGCAACATGTTTTTTCTCCCACACTGTTTACATTTGATCACTGCTCTGCTTTAAGAAATGGAAATGTCATAAGAGCTGTGCAAAACGAAATTTTGTTTTGTAAATTACAATCAAAGTTGTCAAAGTCTAAGTGATAGGTTTAGGTTTCCTTCCCCCTATTGGACTTTGTTGGTGCAAAACATCATGATCAGGGTATTTCCTCTGAATGTTCTGTTAAGTATCATTGTAATCATAATTTAAGAAATTTTTTTTACCATTTAATGTTTTTTTTTTTTTATGACTTTCTGAAAAGTCAATTAAAAAGAATATTGAGAAGTTTTAAGATTCAAAAGTCCAGATTCTACAGGTAGGCAATGTTCCCAAGTATAAAGTCTGAGAAAGTAAATTGGATTTACACAGAAAACAAAACTGCTTGAATAGCCGAGTTCATCAACCAACTTCAGCTTGAGAGTTTGTAGACTGTGCAGAATAATAATTCATAATCCCAACAGAGTGATGCAATAAAGTATTTCTCTATATAACAGATGCTTTGAAGTTATCATTGTCATACAATTTCACTTATGCTTCATTTAATTTAAAGGCTACAATACTTTGCTTCTCTCTGTTTCTGGGTTACTTGTGCTGTTATGGAGCTGATAACAAACATTTCCACTGAGAAAAATGTGTTAAATACTTCTTTTTTTTCCAGCTGTATTTTTGCTGAATGGCAAACAGAAATTTATAAAAAAAAAAAGTCCAAACCCTCCAAAACAGAAGTCATCTTTTTTATCTTGGCATTCCTTATAAATCAATCCCTTGGGACATTCCGCATCTGAAACGCAACAAAGGTGAGTGACCTTAAATCAAGCATTAATTAGAAATGAGTTCATTCATTTCTTTTAGAGGCTTTGCTATATATAGGAGGAAGAGGTATAAAGTCCTTACCACAACTTCCATTAGTCAGTTCTCTCCAGTCAACACAGAAACCAGCATTTTTACATTCCTTTGCTGCTTGTTCCAAAGAAGAGCAGGAAGCATTTAGGGTTGTGCACGAATCAAATTCACAACTCTTCTTTATGATAGTCATATTGACATATTTGCTGCAGTTAGTAAACACCCTGCAGAAAGACAAATATTTGCTTTTAAAGTAAACAGATGATGATGTCACACTTTTCTAAAGGAGCAGATTTTGTGTGTAGCGTGAAGCGTACGGGTGTTCAAGCAGTTGGCATAATGAGTTTGGTACACAGGTAGGTGGGGGTCCAGTGGGTTCCGGGGGATCATCGGTGACACACGGTACATCGACCGGTGCGGAAAAACACTCCGGCTTCAAAGGGTCATAGTATAGCCAGTCATAGGATGTCTTATCACAGCAGGTGTCGTCCTCAATCTGGCCTCCTCTACGGATGCATGATGCACCACCACACACACCTTTAGAGGGGAAGGAAGTGGAAAGATACAGCTTGCTTCAAATTTGTGTTTTTATCAAAAAATAAAATAAAAAATACACAGTCAATTTTGTTGTGTTAAAGTAAAACTTTAAGAGGTAAATTTAACACCAATACAAGTGCATTTGTTTCCACTCTAATTAGTGTTAAATTGACTTTCTACATAGTGTACATCTTACTCCGGTTGTTTTAATGATGAGTCAATTTACTTTGACTCTGAATATTTAGCCCTGTGGAATTTACTGTGTAGTCTCCAGAGACTTCTTCTGATTTTGTTATTTTTTTTCTTGTAACATATGTATTTTATGAGTAAGATTTGGGGCCAGTAGCTTCCACAAACTTATCATATGAATGTAATTTCACAATATTTTTTGAATTTTTATGCATTTCTTTAATATTGTTTCTAGAATCTTATGAATTAAAAAGTGGAAAGTAAATTGCACATATATGTGATAAATACAGATTATAAAACCATTAGCTCAGCTGCTTGTAAATAAATACAGCATATTAAAAGTTACCATCAATAGGAAAAAATACAGAATCAGTTTATCTCAGATTTAAGGAGATTAGTGAGGGTTTTAAGAAACTATCCAGGTAAGGCTGCAACTAGTGATTTTTTTTAAATTGATTAATCTGTCAATTATATTTAAGATTAATTGAACAATAATCAGTTCGCCAAAAAAGTGTTTTTTAAAAGATCTATTTTTACAGATTTTTAACCAACTGAAGTTAAAAATGTCACTTGAGGCAGTTTAAGGAATTCTGGAAAAGTTATATTTATTAATATTAGTTGTTTTATATTTAATGCAAAGTTATACTTGGTTTGAACAAGATTTGCTAAATTACTACTGTAAAGTTGTTGTTCTTTCAGCAAAATATATGTTTTAGATGATATATATTGGATTCAAATTTAGTATTACTATATTGATGTATTACTAAATTGCCCCTCCTTGAACCACTGCCTTAATGTGGTGGAGGGGTTTCAGTACCCAAAGGATCCCAGCCACTATGCTGTTGAGGGCTTAGATGCCCCTTAGTAGGGTCCCCAAAGGCAAACACACTCTGGGTGACAGGTCAGTCAAGAAGTGGTTCAATATAATAAACTTATGATGACAAATAAATTGAAGCACATGACTTTGTCGAGTAAGAGAATGAGGTCCCCCAAATCTGAGGCCTTTCTTGACTGGAAAATGGTGGCAGCGTTAACTGCGACACACGCAGATGACCTGGTTTCTGAGGATAAACCAGGCTTAAGCCCCCAGAGTTAAATTGACATCTTCTGGTTTAACTTGTAGCTTTTTTGGACAAAAGACTACAGATTCCATATTTGACAACAAAAACAGAAAAGTTAGTTCAAAAGACTAGAGAAAAAGCTAAACCTAGTAGCTATCAAGCATGGAGTGGTTGCATCATGCTATGGATGTCTAGGGAGTTACTGTTTTAGACAGATACCAAGATGAGATACTGCACATCACTATGGTATGCAAATTAAAAGTGCAGCTGAAGCATGATACATTAACCCAGGAAACACTGTTGAAAAGGGAGTTAACAGTCATTTGTAATTATGAATCATCACTTCTTGTTTATATCTTACCACATTGTCCTTGGGTGTTGTTGACAAAAAGCTCCATGGCCAGGCTGACCACTAGCGTGAAAGACGGGGAGAGAGAGACAAAGGATCGGATCTCAGGAAGGACGATTGACACTTTGTAGTTTGTGGTTTCAAACATCATCCCCTGCGCCTTAAAGGGTGGCTTAATGATCTTGTTATTCAGAGTGGCCTGAAAAAGACACATCAAAGTCAAGCCATTTGACTTGATGCAATATTTCTTAACTAGTTTGCAAACTTTTATACCTAAAATAAGAGAAAGTAGTTTATCTGCTTTTATTTTAAGAAGCAAATTGATACACTAATACAAAAAAATACCTTGATACCAACAGGATGTGTGGTGATAGTAAGTTTAGCTGTGTTGTTCTGATATTTCACAATAACAGCTTTAACACAGGAGCCTGGGAGTGATGGTGCACAGTAGAAATTGTCCACCACAATGGCCAGGTGATGCTGTGGGGATTGCTCTTCCACGAGGGTGTAGGTGCAGTCTTTCAGGAAATCAAAAGTTACTCCACTGAAAGAAATGTAGTGTGGGTCTCCATAGAGCTCACAGCGACCTGGAAAAGGTCAGATGAGAAGTTAATTTTCTGCAGTATGCAAAATATAGTAATTCATTTGGAAACAAATATATTGTAACTGTGATTAATGAACACTTACAGTCACACCTCCACGTTTCACAGCATCCATCAGAGATCTTTATTAATTGACCCCTGGGACATTCAGGAATAACAAGCTCCGGACAAACCACGGGGGTCAACTCTATTTTTTGATTTACACAGGTCTTGATGAAACAGTCCTCTGTCCAAGTTTCACCACAAGCCCATTCTTTTTTCAGCTTCAGGTCTTTGCAGACGCAGTCTTTTTCTGTGGATGACACAAGCAGAAAAATTACACAATATTTAATTACAAAGTTGCTTTGTCAAATTTTAGGGACAATTGCAAAACACTCACGGCTATCTGTAGAGGGCTCTGTTGTCGTCAACGGTAATTTAGTTATTATATTAGCTGTTGTGGTTTGCTCTGTGGAAATGGTAGAACCCTTTGCTGTGCTTAAAGAGATTGTAGTTTCAGGAATAGAAACACTGGTACCTAGAGTTGAGGTTGAAGTAGTTGTAGAATTAGTATTCCCCTGTGTTGAAGTAAAATAAGTTGTGATTGCAGGTGTGGAAACAGTATCTGCCAGCGTTGAGGTTAAAGTAGTTGTAGATGGTGGTGTAGAAACTGTAGTTCCCAGCGTTGAGGTTAGAGTAGCTGTAGATGGTGGTGTAGAAACTGTAGTTCCCAGCGTTGAGGTTGAAGAACTTGTAGATGGTGGTGTAGAAACTGTAGTTCCCAGCGTTGAGGTTGAAGAACTTGTAGGTGGTGGTGTAGAAACTGTAGTTCCCAGTGTTGAGGTTGAAGAACTTGTAGATGGTGGTGTAGAAACTGTAGTGCCAAGCGTTGAGGTTGAAGAAGTTGTAAATGGTGCTGTAGAAACTGTAGTTCCCAGTGTTGAGGTCAAAGAAGTTGTGGCTGCAAGTGTGGAAACAGTATCTCTCAGCGCTGAGGTTGAGGAAGTTGTAGATGGTGGTGTAGAAACTGTAGTTGCCAGCGTTGAGGTCAAAGAAGTTGTGGCTGCAAGTGTGGAAACAGTATCTCTCAGCGCTGAGGTTGAGGAAGTTGTAAATGGTGCTGTAGAAACTGTAGTTCCCAGTGTTGAGGTCAAAGAAGTTGTGGCTGCAAGTGTGGAAACAGTATCTCTCAGCGTTGAGGTCAAAGAAATTGTAGATGATGGTGTAGAAACAGTAGTTCCGAGGGTTGCAGTCGAAGATGTTGTTGTTGCTGATGTAGAAATAGTAGTGCTTGGCGTTGCAGTTGAAGAAGTTGTAGTTGGAGAAAGAGTAGTCCCCTTTGTAGTGCTTGGTGAGGTTTTAATTGTGGGTGTGGAATCAGAAGTCCCCAGTGTTGAGGTTGAAGAAGTTGTTGTAGCTGTAGAAATGGTAGTCCCAAGCAATGTGGTTGAAGATGTTGTAATTGCTGGGGTAGAAACAAGAGTGCCCAGGGTTGAAGTTGAAGAAGTTGTTGCTGTTGTAAGGGAAACAGTGGTGAGCATTTTTCTGGTAGTCAAGATGCTGGCCGTTGTAACCAGAAGTGTTTGATTCATGGAAAAAAAAATGTTTTTTTAGTGATACCTGTTGCAGTCGTTGTCAGTGTGGCTGAAGTTGTTGGAGGAGCTGTTGACAGTAAGGCAGTAGTTTAGAAGAAGGTTATGTTGAGCAAAAAATATTATCTTTTGCTACAGAAAATATATATTTTCCCCTGTTTATGCAAATTTAACAGCTTCACGTTTTCTAATAATTTTATGTCAAAGACCAATTAAAAGTTGAACCTCCAAATAACATTTTTTACTCTCCTCACACTCTGTTGCCATTAGATTTTGGTTATCAGTTTAACTTAACCATTCTAACACATTGCTGTATTTTTCTCTGAACCATTCTCATATCATACTGGCTATATGTTTAAATCCCTTCTCCGGCTGTAAATAATAGCCATGGGTCCTCGGTTCTTAATGAACAACAGCATCCCCACAGCATGATACTAACTCCACCTTATTTTATCATGGGGTGGTAAGTTGATGGTGATGGGGATATTTTTATTACATGCAACTCTTATTGATGCGCTTTTAACCTAACCTGTTAGTAACCATGTCTTGATAGCATTGGGGTTTTTCATATTCTTTCAGTTTTAAAGGTACACTATGCAACCGGTGTTGATTTTCCAGCGAGACTCCCCCCAGAGGGCGAAAGTAAAAGTGCACTGTCGTAAATATGCACAGCTGTTCTCCTGGTTTCTCCGTCAAGCCAGGCGCGGTTGTTTTGAGCTTAGCAGACAGGCGAACGCAACGAATGACTAATGCTGCGTTCACACCACAGCTGGCACAACAGAAGCAGCGAGTTTACATGCAAAGTCAATGGTTGACGCGCGTCAAGGCGCAGCAAAAGGTCCAGCGGCGCGTTTTGAGCAGCAGGCCCAGCGCGTCTGACCAGCTGAAGCAGGGAGAGAGACACAGCGCTGATGATCAGAGGCTATGATCTCTCCTCTTAAACAGTTTATTGACGCCTAAATTAACTTAAAATGCAGAAATCTGCCGGCAGAATATGCAGTTTGGATTATTTAGATCAAAAACACCTACCAGCTGCTGCGGTGAACCGCGAGGACGTGACCTGGCCAGAGGCTGCTGATGAAGGGGTTCCTTCTGTCGGCGCACCGCTGGTATGTGGGGGTCTGAGCGGCTCCGACAGAAAAAATATTGAAGGCAGGATAATAATCTGAATGAACTGACGGCACTGATTACGTTTTCAGGTGTATTTTCTCATTTAAACACATATTAAAACTACTTTATTCCAAATGATCACAGCAAATATAGCTGCAAGGCAGAAAAAGGATAGTGAAGCTCCGCCCAAGGCGCGTCAGACACACTTTTGTACCGCACAGCCAGAGCAGCAAAGCTGCTTCAGCTGCGCGTCAGAACTAACTGGTTCAAGCAGCAAAAATGAAGCAGCAGACACGATTTTGCTGCTTTTGCTGCGTGAACGTAGCATAACTGCACAAGGATCGCCACTGTGCTAGCAACGAGAATGCTTTTAACTGGGGGGTGTAGCAGTTCTCGCCGTAAAGCAAGAATGACTCTCACGAGACTTCTGAGCCTGTGGGTGCGGGTCGGTGCTCCTGCAATTGCAAGTGCAGTATTTCCCCCACAGACCACCAGGGCGGCCGAGAATACCTTTGTTCAACCTGAAATGAATCATTTAATCATCCATAACGCTATAGAACACATTAATTAACTGAAAAATGTTGCATAGTGTGCCTTTAATATGATGGATTTACAAAAGAGGAGACTCCTGAAGCCATCTGGTTACAAAGGGTTTTTAAGGGACATCACAGTCAATTGAATATAAATGCTTTCTGGATTTTCATTTGTATAAAAAGTGAATAAAAATGCAAAAAATGCAAAGCAAGAACTGTATACATAGTCAAAATTTGTAAATACTTACGGCAAATGACTGTTCCATTTTCACAAGTACTGGGTGGGGGGAAAAAATTGAGTCATTGGTGAATTTTATTTATTGGTGGCGTATTTTCCATGATAGTTTAAACTTACCATAAAATGAAGTCTATAATAACTCCTTCTCCTGGTGGGACAATTGTTTCATTGAAAAGGCAGGAACAGTTTCTCAATTCAGTGCATCTGCCAGTATTCTCATCAAAGTATGGAGATTCCTTAGGGCATCTTGGGTAACAGCCTTTTCCGGGGTAAATAAAACAAAAGAAACACACCTTTTGATATGTTGGAGAGTTTTAAGGCATCAACCAGTCCCTAACAAATTCCTTTTAATAATCCTTAAATTGTGAAGATCTAAAAATGTTCATATACGCTAACTTTCAAAAATATAAAAAAGTGGCCTCATTTTAAACTGTATAAATGTACAATTGTTTTTCACCTTCCAACTTTTGATTAGAATGGTTGGGAGTTCCACAGGTCAGTATCCTTCCACAGGATTCATAGTGCCACCTACACTGGCCTTGCTCATTGTAGTAGTCACAGTAGACAGCTGATAGAGGGGAAAAAAATAGTAAATAATAGTAAATACTGGATTAACACTTTTCTTTTAACTACATTATACTGTAAACATTATAAAAATGTTAAAAGGATATGATATTAAAAGGATGTGATATACGTAAATAGACATTAACAAACAAACATTGAACAGATTTGTTAAGATGGGCAAACAGATTATAACTTACGGCACAAATCAGGTGTCCTCCAGTTAATGCAAACATCCAGATCACTGCAGGCCTCTGCATAGGCAGCCACTGCTGTGCAGAAACCCAAGAACTTTCCTTCAAACTCACAGGAACATGACTCATGCACACAGGCTTGGTAGTAGGGCTCTGGATCCACCTTAGAGTTAAATAATACCCAGAAAAACATGACAGGCCTCCAGTAAAGTCCTAAAACATCTCTTACCAATAAGAGTCTTTACTGATAGAAATTAGAAAAATGTTGCATTTGCAAGACAAACCGTTAAATGACAGTCCCTGAATGTGTCTCCTTTAATGATCATACAGCGCCGCTGGGCCCATGCAGAACAATAGGAGTGACGTTCGCATGGAAATATCTCAGTGGTCACATCAGAGCAAGGAGGAGTGCTGATCTTCCAACTGTTTCCAAAAGCTAGTGGACTGCTCACCACTGCAAATACATTTTATGGGTTTTCATCTTAACAATAATGTAAAAAGAAAAACAGCTCAAATTTAATATGGATTTACCAGCTGAGCCAATTATCTGAAGGTCGTTCATCTCATTGGAGTCGAAGTTGCCACAGAGACCGCAGACTTTGTTCTAGAGGAGACATTGTTTGGAAAATATGTGAATATGTAGAAGCTTAAAAATGTACACCAAGAGAATCCTCATGTCTATTCAGTTACCCATATAGAAATGAATAGTTCCCCTGATAAAACCATGTAACCTGAACATTTAAGTCCTCCGAACTTAATAAAAACTTTAACCTAACTACAGTTATTAAAAAGATTACAAGCATCAACAAAAGCATTTATATATATTTTTTAATTGTAGCCAACCAAATGGCTGTTTTATTTTAGAGAACATAAAAATATAAAAACATGGAAAAGACAATAAAACAAGACAGGAAAGGATGAATTTCCTGGTGTTATTGTTATTGTACCAGATTTTCGTACGTTAGCCGTGTAGTATAGATAGCTGTTACGGAGAGGTAGAACAGTGTTTTTTTTTTTTTATGCTTTGATTTAGTCAGTTTTAAAGCTTTTTTACAAGCCCCTCCTTGAACCACTACCTTAAAGTGTTATTGCTTGGATGATGCGCAAGGATTTGAATGACCTTGGTAGTGTCTCCCAAGACAAAGGCTTTGGGGGATGAGTCGCAAAGAGTGGTTCAATAAGCTCTTTTAATGACTTGAGAGGCTGGACTCTCTTTTACTCTGGTGTAGCCCAAAGGGAGAGAGCCTGGGTACCAGGGCCAGGGCTCTGCTGTTACAATTCACCCCAGTGGATGAGACGGTCACATCTTGGGAACTCCATAAGTCTACTAGGGGACTTCAAGGCACATGTGGGAAATGACAGTGACATATGGAAGGGCATAATCAGGAGGAATGTACCTATAGGTCTGATCAGTATTGAAATTCTATGCAAGTAATGGTTTGATTTTGTATTTGTATTTCAGGTACATTGACTGCATGTCTTGGACAATCAGGTGAAGAAGGACAAACTTGGCAGACCCAAGAAGACTTATGAGCATTATGAACGGTCAGGGATGTAGTCAACTCCCATTTCCAGGATATATTTTCTATGACTTTGGGGGAGGTTGAAGACATGGGGTCTGAGAAGACCATGTTCTCTCCCACTATTGTGAAAGTGGCCTCCAGTAGCTGTGGCCATAAGGTCTGTGACAGAGATGGGGGATCTGGAGCCAGCAAGTCACCTCTATGTAATGCATTTGTTCTGCCCAGCCAATCTGCAAACCTGTGCAGATTGGACTCAACTGATTCAGTGGCTGGGCATAGCAAACACATGACATAGAGATAACTTGTTGGCTCCAGATACCCTATCTCTGGTCTGGCCATTGAGCTCCAGAAGTACTCCTATTGAGCCATGTTGGTTTGTGGGGCTCCTTAGGCGGCGAACAGTTACAGTGAGACCAAGTTTGCTGCTCCCCAAGTGTTGCAGAGGCTGTGAGGGAATATGGTGAGACCTTGGAGAAAGACTTAGTTACCCACCAATGATTCTGGCAAACAGTCCAGCACCTCTGGATGGCAAAGCAGTGCTTTCGCTAACGGATAACTCATCTTTTCTCAAGCTTGTTTGACAATTGATCCGATGAATTTGCCAAACTCAGAATACGGGGCTGCATTAAATTTTCAAAATATAGTATGTATTTTTATGAAAGTTTTATGAGGCTTGACTTTATACAGTCTAAACCATTTGCTGAACTTCTACTTTAAATTGATTTTACCCGATTAGGTTGTTTTTTTTCGATTTCGAAGATTTTAAAGGGCAAAAGTTGCCAAGAAATAATTTTAAACCACAAATTTTTCAGAAAACACACTAATTTACATTTAGTTGAAAGTCCCTGGAACAACTTGAGCAGGATTCCCTGAGTTCTCTTTAAATTTGAGAGAGCAGAAGTCAATAAAAATGAGTCATATTTTTCAAGGCCACTCACCCTCCAGTCAGGATGGAGTTCTATGGTGATCCTTGTGTTTTTGTCCCAAATGAGAGTTAGACCTTTGCTTGGCACAGAGACTACTATATACAGTCCCACAGTGTGCGTCTTGTAAAGGGGCTCTTGCTCCAAAGTCCAACCACTTTTGAGGTGTCTGGTGACTTTCATATCACTCAGTGTTAGCGTGACTTTATCCTGAAAAGGAAAATTATTCAATTAGACACTCTTTAATCTAAACTGTAAACTCTATATTTCAAAAATACCCATGCAAATCTTCAGTGAAGTGACTGAGGTGAAAATGTGTTTAAGTTAAATGGTAAGATGTCCCATATTATTGGTTAAATCATTGGGGTATAAGCATTAAGAATCTGATACAGATGTTTGGTTTAATCATAGAAGGATGAACCCACCTCCAGATCTAGAATAATTGTACGAGAACAGGTGAGGGCTTCATCACAGCAGGGCACACTCTCCACTCGGACAGAAAAGGAACCATTTCTGTTCCCGCAGTAATCCTTTAGCAAAGTAACAATGATACTAAATAAGCATACATGAAACAAGTCATCTTAAAATGCTCCACTACACTCTTGGAAGCTCACCTCTACCAGTGTGTACTGACAGTGTCCATCAAAGCGAAACCATTTAGAATCAAAAGTCTGGTAATGTCCATTTCCATAAACCTGACACTTCCCTGAGCACGCCTCCTCATCTTTGCAGCTCCACTGGCCCTGGTTACAGGTACTAAAAGGTAGAAGGATGTCAACATGATTATTTCTGGTCTTTATAAGGGAAGCAGGTGCAGCAGAGGGAGTGTTACCATGTTTTACAGTTGGTTTTGACAAACTCTCCAGCACTGAACACTTTGCCACTGTACATACAGGTGCAATTATTTCTGGGAACGCATCTCCCATTGTGATCCTCATATTGGTCCAGAGGGCAGTAACAGCCACTCTCGCAGCTCACATTAGCACCCTGGGTATGATGTTGAGGAAAGGAAAATTACATTGTTCTATTTGGGTTTGTTTTTCTGCCTTTCACTGCTATAATAATAAATACAGCTTTGAATCAACGTTTTAACTGTTAGAAATAAATGCAACTATGCAGGTCATTAGGTTAAAGCTTACCAAAGGTTTATTGAGACTGTCACAGGTTTTCTGAGCTGTGTTGACTTCAAACTCTGAGCAGTGAACACAAACCTTCCCATTTCTGCAACCTAACCCAGAACATGTTAAATACCAACAAGCTGATCAGTGAGAAGCATGCACAAGGGTTCATTTTAAATTCACAGAAAAACAGATAATATTAAAGAATTGCATTTTAATCACTGAAACAAAAAGCTGCACAGATAGAATACCAGAGATTAATCTTAAGTAGATTTCTTGGTTTTATTGGCAGTAATATAATACAATATAATATGGAAATTTACCGCAGTCCTTGGAGCAGTGGAGTTTTCCATCCTTACAAAGGCTTTAAGGAAAATATTATTTGAATAGATATGCATTAATACATTTAATACCACTATTATATATTTGAAGCAATCAGTTGATCAGATGATTGTCTGTATAAACATATTAAAAATGTTAACTTAGGTTCAATAGCACCATAACCATACCTTTTAGGCACTCTTTCCTCATCTCATCCATTCATCCCCTCATCATTCCTAATCAGCTTTTCTCCAAACTAATCCATCTTCTATCAAATTAAATTTTTCAAACCTCCCCCCCTACAAAATAATTTCTTATTGTTTAGTCATTTGGTCATTTTTTACTTCTGTTATTGATAACTTATGTGTTTTATGGAAGAAATGTTTAGCGTTCCTAAATGTGTCTTAACACAATAACTCTATATAATTCTATAGAGTCAAATTCTGATTTCAATAGAGTTTTGTTTCACATCTTCAGTACTGAAACACATATCCCTAAATGACTGAAACTCCTCAGGAACCACAGACCAAGAGATTGTTCAAATAAACTGAAGCCGACTGAACACATCAGACTTCTAGGGCAACAGTTTAAAATGTTAACATGCTGCACATATGAGTAATATACATAGAATTTCAACTGAATTCATGACAAAAAATTACTTTTTTGTAAAAAAAAAAAAGTAGACAGTTTTCAACATATAATATATAAAATATATTTAAATATATAATTCCTTACGTCATTCTCCTAAATTGCTGTCTATTGTTATTATAACAACATTCCCTCTGATGGTACCCTCATTCAAAGGCTGAAGGAAATCCCACATAACATAAATTAAATAATCATATACCATCCTTTGTTATGAACAAACCTAAATCAATTCATAAGCAATGCTGTGGCATTGAATGAACATTTTCAGTATTTTCCATGAACTCACCATTGTCGCCCATCAATAACTACAGGTCCTGGTGGTGTAACACCCCTACTGTGATAACACATGCATTGCCCCTTTGGGACGCAGGTTCCGTCTTGGTTCAGATGGGTTCCCTCTGGACAGCCACATCCCTCTGCTGGAGGGCTGTCCAGCTCGCAGCGAGGATCATACCCGGACAGCGAAAGGCACGTATTATTACATGCCCGGACATTGTAGGAGAACTCCTGGTTCGTTGGACATTTCACAGCTTTAACACAGAATTTTTTAAAGTTCAGAATGTGAAAAACATAAGAGGATGTGAAAAACCAAATACATATTTAAAAATATTTAATGCCCATACTCACTGCAGTTGGTGGCTCTCCTCCAGTTGCCAAGTTCTATACCCACATTAGCACACGCTTTAGCATAACTTCCCAAAGAAGAACACAGGCATTGCAGTAGATTATTCCCACAGTTGCATGTTTTCTGGATGCAAGCCTAGAAGCAGTAATAGGTTATATGAACAGGAGGTCAGCGTTAATGCATCACCATTAGTTGACAAATCAACTAATCAGGGATGTCTTCAGGAATTAACTGTGTAATAAAAACATTCTTACGTCATGGTACTGGTCAGTCGGAATGTGGCCGTGGCACTTGGCAAATATCCCATTTGAATCATACAATACAGAGCACTTCTCATCTGCAAATATTTCTGAAATGTATAATATCAAACAATGTACACACCTGTTGGCAATATAATTTGGTACAATATGTTTTCTTTGAGGCACAAGATGCAACCTGTGTACATTATGTTAAACTTCTTAAACTTATTCCTGGTGGTATCGTGGACATTGTGGTAAAGAGGGTTACTTCCATGGCGGATGTCTGTTTTTCATGTTGCTGCTTTTTTTGTTGAACACAGATATGCATGTCCATGGTAACTGTTACTATGCTGAATATGGTGTTAAATCAAGCACATTCAGCTTGACCTTATCTTAAATAGAAAAGTACAGAAAATCAAGCATTATTAGCTTTGCTTTTTCATGAAAAAGGCAATGGATAGATTTCTGTAGTGACTGAGCTGTGATTAACATCTAAAAAAAACTCTTACTGGTCTCGAGTTTGTGTCTGGGGTGCCTGGGGAGCAGTGTGGGGTTAAGGGTTTTGCTCAGGAACTCAGAGAGGAGGATGTGGGGATCGAACCGGGCACTTGCAACTTTCTCAGAGCGCAAGCGCATAGCTCTAATCACTAGTCCAACACTCCCCATATTAAAAAGACCAAAAAGCATTTTATCATGATAAAATAGGGTAATATACACCAGCGTGCATCCCTTTTAAGCCTAAATAGAATTCCTGCGCCAATACGAATTTATGGGCTATCTGCCATAAGCAGAGTTGATCCAGCTATTTAATAGAACCAGAGATTCCTACAATGCCTTGCAGTTGCAATTCAATTCAGTTATTTATATGGTGCCAATTCACAACAGGTCATCTCAAGACACTTTACAATTCACCAGATCATACAGTCAAAACCATCTGATTGAATCTACTCATCGACTCAAAGGCAACCCCTCCCACTAAGCATGCTTGTAGCGAAAGTGGAAAGAAAAAAAACTCAATTTTAACAGGAAGAAACCTCCAGCAAAGCCAGGCTCAGTGTGAGCAGCCATCTGCAATGGCCGACTGGGGTTAAAGAATACAGAGATACTAATACATTATCTGAGGCCTTGAGAATATCATTTGTGACTTTCAACTGAGCAATTTCAGTGCTATGATGAGTTCTAAAGCCAGACTGAAACACTTTGAAAAGTTTATTATGGTGCAAGTGGTCGCACACTTGATTGGCAACTACTTTCGTAAGAATTTTACATTACAAAGGAGGATTTGATATAGATCTATAATTGACCAAGTCATCTGGGTCAACACGCAGTTTCTTAAGTAATAGTTTAAGGCAACCTGTTTAAGGTTGCTGTAATCAAACTTTAACAGAGATAGATTAATCACATCTAAACTGGAGGAGGAGATTGCTTGGAACTGGATCTAACATACAAGTTGAAGGCCTTGATGAAGATAATACTTTTGCTAACTCCAGAAGTTCAACTGGATCAAAGCAGTCTTAACCCGGTTCAGATTCTATGGCTACCTCAGATGCTGCCTCAAACCCAGAGATAAACCAATCGTAGTTAGAGGAGTCCTAATGATCTTATTTTTATTAAGATCAGACTTATTTATCAAGAATCCCATAAAATAATTACTGCTAAGAGCAAGTGGATTGCAGGGTTCAACAGAGCTATGGCTCTGGGTGAGTTTGGCAACTGTATTAAAAGATATCTAGGATTATTCTTTTTCTCCTCTATCAATGAGGAGAAATATGCTACTCTTGCTCTATGAAGGGTCCCTGTATACAACAGTAAACTATTCTCCAGACTAGGTAGGATCCCCGTAGGCATGTGGAGCACCATTTCCTCTCCAGTTTCCTAGCATTGTGCTTGAGAGTGTGCAGCTCTGTATTAAACCAGGGAACTAGCTTTCTATTTTTAAAGTTTTTTCTTTTTCAAAGGGGCTGCGTTGTCTCAGGCTGTACGCAGAGAACTAGCAACCCCATCATCAAAATCATCAACCTGTGAAGGGGAATAAACTAAACTTTTGCCCCCCTGCAGCATTGCTCAGCGACACAGAGGAGAGAGAAAGGGAAAAAGATTCCTTAAAGTCTATAACTGCACTATCTGATAATGATCTGCTAAAGTGAAACTTTTTTTGGAGATGGAGAACTCTGTTAAAGTAAACCTGAAGGTTACTAAAAATGGGACAGTGAGGTCAGGGTTGTGAGGAAATACTGTTATTTCTTCACATTTAATGCCATATGTCAGCACAAGGTCCAAAGTATTATGATGAGAACATGTTCTCACAGTACTGTATTTAGTGCAATGCAGTCACTAATACAAGATTGGAATTATTTCTGTTTTAGACATTTTAGAAACAGAAATACATTGTATTTCTTGTGATATAATTGAATTGTTTTGCTGGGAGTGTCATTGTTGTAATTGAGCTAATGCACTGGCTCCCATCTGCTAATTAAGGTCCTGATGTTTACAATATGTGTCCACATCTACTGTCCTCATAAGAGAGACAGAGATGTATTGATGAAGGAAATGTAGATATTATGACATTGCATTGATTTATGTATCCATTATAGGTTTAAAGCAGTTGTTACCATTGTCAGTATTGATGCAAACATTTGGGATATCCCCTGAACAATATCCTAAACTCCAGGATAGAGCAAATAGCTTGGCGGAGCTCTCGATGATCCCGCTGCTGGTAGTGAAGTCATCTGTGGTATCATTGTTCCTGTTTCCACAAAGACCTAAAAGAAAGCCTGACTTTAACTGCAAAACCACCTGGGTGACATGCTTACAAAAATACTGTACCTTAACATTATAGTTAGTAAATATCATAAAAAATAAAACATACATTTATGGAAACTACTGTGATTGCAGAAATGCCCATTTGTTCAGAGTCTGTTTTCTCCTTACCTGAGATCTGGCCAGTAGTCTTTGTGGGTGTGATTGACAGCTGGAGCTCAGGAAACACCTGGACTCCAAGCGCTACACCAACGGTTGTACTTACTTCTACATACATTGAGGACTGCCAGAAAATCAGTGCTAGATCTGTAAAAAGAGATTAGCAAGAAATGTAATTGTGATTTTCTCAAATTACTTTGGGTGCATTAAAAGTTCAGTTGGCATTTGTCATACCAGATTGGTAGAGCTCAGTAATCTCTTGGTCTCCAACTGTGACCTTGCTTAGTGTGAACGTAAATATTTCCTGAAAATGTAGGAAGTAAAGAATTCAGTTTGATTAAGAATTCTTTACAATTTGACATTGCCCTTGTTTTTTTTTACTGTTTTCTGAAGACATTTGCCTTACTTTAGCCATACCTGTAAAATCTGTACACGTACTGCCTTCAATGATGGTCGAGTTTTAGAAAACTCAATTTCAATAGACCAGTTGGAGTCCTGCAATAGAGCCAGAGAAGTTTTTGTTTTTAGGTTAATAATCCAATAAACCCTGAATACTAAGAACCATTGGGAAAAACACTTACCTGCGATGCCATGTATGTGCATTTACCAGGAACTGCATACTGTTTGCCATCAAATGTTGTCACAAACTGTCCTTCAATGAGACATCTGGATGGGCAGGAGTTTTCAGAGCAATGCCACTTCCCACTATCACACTGACTGAGATCAAAAGTTAAGATGGTAAATGGCATGTACTTATATAGCACCTTTATTCAAGTTAGGAGACTTGACCAAAGCACTTTACACTACATTCATTCACTCACACACTGATGGTGGCAAGCTACATTTTAGCCACAGCTGCCCTGGGGCTCACTGACAGAAGTGGGGCTGCCGTACACTGGCCCCACCGGGCCCTCTGACCATCATCAGTAGACAATGCAGATGAAGTGTCTTGCCCAAGGACACAACGACACTGAAAGTCGGAGTCGGTGCTTGAATTTCAGGGCAAACCCCTACATCCAACGCCACTGTCGCCCCCGGAAGAATTTGATTAAAAAAATTACAGGGACCATTTCTCTATATGTGTACTTGTGCGTTCTCATGTGCTTGTGAAAAGTCATCAGCCTATTGCTCTAGTACTGTTCCAATTCACAAGAACACAAGACCAAGAACAGACCAAGTCCCCTGATTTTGTTTTCGCCCCTTCCCATTTACAGAGTATGCATCAGAGCAGATTTGTCCGTTCTCGAGATTAACAGCTGTCCCAGCATGCACCGCGGCAGCAACAGCTTTCAGTGGAGCGCTCACAGGGCTCAGTGTATTAAGTTAAAAGTTCTATTTTCTGTTACTGTTGTTATGTAAAAGTACATTTTAAAATCATTTCAGGCGAGAACATTATACTTTTAAACTACACTATATGGCCCATTTACTGATTTAAAGCATCATTTAAAAAAAGTTCCGATGTTGAGAGGACTGTGGAAACCAGCAGACCTCCGAGGCTAACTGCAGTAAGGGCCAACCTTAGCCCATCTGCAGCCCCCTCTCTGGGCATAGCGGTGTGAGGTACAGCTGGCTCTGATGCCGATTTTTTTTTTATAGGCAAAATTTTCTTTTGATCTCTTTTTGTCTGACTTAATTAGAATTCCCCCACTAACTGAAAAAAATAAGAACTTATAATTATCTAGAGGCTATTAATAACAGGAGGTGAGATGCAGCTCTAGATAAAGACAAGAGCTGCATATTGCAGACGAGCTGTTCTAATTGATCCATATTTATACTGCGTGCTCTCGTTCTCTCCGAGTCCAGACTTTCCTCTGTTCTTCTCAACAACATACTTGGAGAGGACACGAGTCCGTACTGGCGTTCTTGTGAATTGAGAAATGGCCAGGGTTTCTTTCTTGTAGATTTTTTTTTGTTCCTTAATCGTGGCTCGGTGGTGTTTTCTTTACTGTAAAAAGTGGTGTTTTTTACTGTAGCTAGTCATCCTTGTCAGGAGGAAATGTTTACATCAGCCGTATCAGTGACTTATGAAAGATGAAGATGTTTAATACCAGATCTATCAAAATAATATCAAAAAAACAAACAAGAAAAAATATTTTAAAAAATAAGCATTATTGTAAGAACCAGTGGGATTTTCGTTTTCTTACTATACTCAACAGCTACACTTGAAAAGGCTGTCTAGGTCAGTATTTGCATCAATAAACTTTAAATGAAATGCAAGCTGCTACTTTTCTTTACTACTAGCAGCTAGCTGTACTGTTGTGTGCAAGTTAGCCTGCACATATTTAGAAAAAGGAGCCTAATATGTTCTTTTTAAATCCACATAAAAATAAACGCAAAGAAAGGAGGAAAGGAATCCTAAGGAAACATCAAGATTCAGAAGAATGGGTCTAACTCCGAGCTAAATGTCCACAGGATTATTTTATGAATAGAGTAATGTCTGTAGGCCGCCATATTTATATATAATAAGTTTTTGCATTAAATACATATTCTATCTTAGGTAAACTGTATGTGTCAATTACTTGTGTTGCACCAATATTTTCTGCTGCCTCAGAAAAAAAGTATTAAAATTAGGGGGTATTGATGAAGCACCAATTTATAGTTTTGTTTATTTTAAAATTGTGTGTTGAGGTATATATAACTTTAAAGGAGAGTTTTAGATACAAAAAAAAAACAAACAACAAAACGTTTCCCCTACAAATAGCACTTTAGAAGTTGTGTCACTCTGTTTCTTGGCATATATATTCATATCTAATGAATGAGCCTTTTGGTTCACCTACCATGTTTGACATCTGGTGGTGCGTATCCCTCCAGGAGAGTAGATCTGATCATTGAATACACATGGACAGTTGTGGACACCCACACACTGGTATCCATCAGTGTGATCATTCAGCACCGCATCTGTAATTGCAGTTGTTAAATCTTTTAAAGATCTGTGCAACAAAACAATGTGAAAACAAAAGTGGAAAATGATGGTTCTCACCTGCAGGACAGACACAGGAGCTTGTGGTCTCCAGGGTGGTGAATCTGGGGTCCTGGTTTGAGCAGCTGGGCACAAAAGGAGAACCCTCCTCGATGTAAACCAGGTCACCTGGACACGTTTGTGGAGCTGCAAGCGCACATCAAAGCACACAGGAGCATCATTGGATGATCAGAGTTTGTTTGAGAACATTTGGGAACAGGGTACCTCCTTTCAGGTACATGAAGCAATCCCCTACCACAGTTGGCTATGGTCCTCCACTTGTCCCAAATATGGCTCCTTTTTCCACATAGCAGTGCAATCTCTTTGAAGAAAGCACATGCAATGTCGCTGTTGCCTTCAAAGGTGTAAAGGTTTTCATCACAGAGGGCGATGTAGTTGGGTGTTTGGAAATTTAGACAGTCGAGCGTGTGTGAGAAGAAGTCTCTGCACAGCTGCAAATGTTACCAGAGAACATAAATCAGCTTGTTCCCTGTTTGAGACTAGCTCTGTTAGACCTGTTTGCAATTTAAATGATAAAGCAAGTTTTACACTTAAAAGGAAACTAAATGTCAGGCTGTTAACAAAAAACAAAAACTTTAACACTGTAAGAGGGTTGCTTTACATTTACTTAAATTGAAAATAGGTGGAATTTACCAAGTTGGGGCGAGGGTTGAGGTCCTGAATGTAGCAGGTGTTGTCAGAAATCAGACAATTTCTCACCAGCTGCTGAATATCGCCTGTTATAAAAATGTAGGACAGTAAGTAAAAACGAAAAATAATATCTGTTATAGGTTTGTCTTATTACAGTTCAGTAAAACTGGGTTTAATGTAAAATAAATTAACGTATCAATGGAAACTTCATAAGGATGAATATTCATGAATCCGCTGATAACATTGCTTATCCAGACAACTTTTTGAAATTCAAACTTGGCAACTCAACATAATCCATGTATTCACATGTTTTAGATTCAATACTAGATCAAACAATAACTTTCTCTGACAGAAAAATCAGAAAATGTATTTTAAAATAGTTTCCATTATCAAATAAATATCATGCAGATGCTTTCCAACATTTTTTAGTCAACTACGTTTTTGGAACCATAAATGAATTTATCAAAGTTTCAAGACTTGGCTTGATATACTGGACGTAACAAAAAGACAAATGGAAAAATCCTGGAGTATTTGCAAAAAAATAAAACACTAAAATCCTAATTATCCATTCAGTGCAATTATGAACTCATAGCTGTTTGATAATCATATTGCAGCTTTATAAATATTATGTACAGTTAGTAAATCTGCAATAACTGCTGTATGGTGATTTACTTAATAAACCTAATAAAGTAAATGGAGAGATCATCATAGCTCTAGATTATAGTTTCAATGTGGCAACTAAAATACAATCCTTTTTAGTTTATCTTTTTTTTTTTAACATAAACAAAAAATACAATAATATCCTTTGTGATGCCATACCTGTCTTATGTATTGCACAAAGTCCACTCAAGTCAGAGCTCAGCTTTTGCTCTAGTTCAACCTTCATAGTAAATCACAAAGAGACATTAGTAGATGTGTAAAAGACATAAATGTTACATGTTATGTTTTAGGTGTTAATTTGTCCTAAAACCGAATTAAAACTCAGATTAATAGTAAAAATCACTTTTCATTATCAGTACTTTTGGTTATAAAATAATCAAAGTGCAGTTTCGGTTTATAAGCACAAAACACAAACATTAATAATAAGTAGAAAAGGCAGTATATGCAGTCCCATATAAAATACTTATATTGCAGATAATCTTTAAAAGATAAGCAAACTCATTTTGTTTTTAATACCCTCTAACTGTAACAGTTAAAAAATGGTTACATCTCGAAAACCTGCCACCTTAAGACATTTGTTCCGTTTACAAAAGCTCTATTGAAGAAAAAAAGCCTGAAAATGAACTTAATCTAAAATAGATGGTAAGTAAAGTTTTATTATTTTTCACCAAAAAGGTGCAGTTGACCTCCATATATATATGGATTTCCAAATCTTTGAAAAATGGTTTGGGTTGTTCTAAAGGGCTAACAAAGGCCGAATTTTTTTTTAACAACTATGCTTGGCTTAAATTTGACAAGTTTGGAGATACATATTGGCCAAGCATAAATAACCAATAAAAATGTCTAGGGACAAGCAGTGTATGAACCAGATTTCTAACAGACATATTGAGGAAATCTGATGCAACTCTCAGGCGCAGAGAGGGAGGGCTCACATCATCTAAACACCTTGAGATCACTGAGTTGACCCAAATTAGCCCAAAGTAGATTTACAACTGGATGACCCTCAAAGAAAATACCTAAGGTGCTTTAATGGCCCAGCCAAAGTTCTGACCTCAGACCAGCTGAGGTTTTGCAACAGGGAGACTTATGGGAGCTGAATGAAACCTGATAGAACTCAATGAACTGCACCTACATTGAAAAGAAAACAGTCTGAATTCCCCCCAACAATAAGTTAAGATCGTGCAGATAAGCGCTGCGTGTTATTTCAGCTAAGAAGGGTTCTTTAGCAACAGAATTAGCAATATCAGTATTTAAATGCGGTTTTTGTAAAAAATAAGTTATGATAGTGTGTGCTCGACGTTTAACAAACCAGCTGGTGGCAGTTTATAGTATTTGTCTAACTTTATCATGTGCTCACCCAAACACTGTCAAGTCCTCCTGCTACTGTGTGCCAGGTGACTGAGAGAGGGAGTAATGAGCTCCTCAGTCTGGTGTAGATGCCGTATTGATATATGTGCTGGTAGGTGTGGTCATATGGAAGGGAAACCCTGTAAATAAAAGAATAAAAGAATATAAGAGGGGTCAGTTTAGAGACAACTTTGCTTAAACAAAAGAGGTTATAAATAACTGGTAATCACCAGCTCACTTAAGCTAATAAAATAGTTGTTTGTTTGTTTCATTCATCTAGCTATTCTGCAAAGAAGAAAGACAATAAAACATTTTACATAGAGGAGGCAGATATAAACTGTTTTTCAAAATAGATGCATCAAAAGATCAGTTTGTCTTAAACCTGACTTTAGGCCCTGCTGGTATTTATGTTTCTTTTTTTATTAATTTGGCCTGGCCTTACCCATTCTAGGATCGCAAGGGGTGTTGGTTCCTATCTCCAGCTGTCAATGAGCAGGAGGCGGAGTACACCCTGGACAGGTCATCAAAAACCCCGGGCCAGAAATTGAACCTGAAATCTTTTTGCTGTAAAGCAACATCGCTACCCACTGCAGCCCCTAAAGTCAGAGCAATAAACTCTTGAGTTTGGGGATTAGACAGGATGTCATGATCTTCTGGTGTTAAGGTATGAATTATATAATACTATTAATTATACATTTTATTTAACTGTGCCTTTCTACATACTGAAGGTCACTTTAGAAACAATAAAAATACAAATATAGGGAACAGAAAAGTATAAACAAAAAGTTATGGAGAGGGACAAGAGATTTCTGTTTTATCTCTTTGGAGATGAAACACTGTACTCTGGACAAACCATGCTAATGTGCAGCCGGAACTGCTTTCTAACACTAAAATGGACAGTTTTACCAAAGGTGTTTGAAAGCAACCTTCAATGTCATGAAATTTCCATCAATGACCGATAGTGTGAATTGCTCTGCAGGAAAATATTACAGGTGTTATTTTAGCATGTTTTAACCAGGGGCACTGATAAATATGAAGGAGACTGTAGTTTTTAAACAGAAACCTAGTAGGTTATATGGAAAGGTTGATTAGACTTTACCTTAAGGTTCACAACTGCAAAGCAAAATGAGTGTAGAACATGGAGTCAAACCTTTTCTTCTCTACCAGGATGGTTCCATTCTGCACTACGGTCTTGACCTTGTTGATGATAATCTCGATTAGGTTTACCAAACTATTCGGTCCTCGCCGTATGGTGATGTCACACTTGACTCGTTTGTGGGTGAAGCGGGCGAAGGTGAACGGACAGTTTGAGCGCACATAGAAAAGTGAACCTTTGAAAGCCTGGATGACTCCGCTGCCATATGTCTTGCAAATATCTAATCAGAGTTGGCAAGGAAGGATTGTCAGTGGTTACTTTAGGACTATTTAGAGACAGATCAAACACAACTGTCTTTGGTTTAACTTTAGTCAATTAAATTAATACATAAGTACAGAGGTTAATCCTGCCAACATTCAGGTACTCACATTTCTGAGACTCAGGTGTTCCCATAGATTCACCCGCCCTAAAAGCTGCAAGTCAATACTCAGTTAGAGGGGAAAACAGTAAAAATGAGTCATGCACTAAATGTAGGACTAATCCATCTTCTGCAGACACAGTGTTAGAATTCAGTTTAAAGCTTCCAATACATTTTTTAACAACAAAACCCCAATAAGGAAATTGCTTTATTTCTATGAAATAGTTTATTTTTAACTCCCATTTTAGCTCTGTGAACATGGAAAATCACCCAAGATTGAAAAAATTTAATAAATAAAAAATCTCTCTATATATAAGATAAAAGTAATGCATGAATTTGCCTTTACCCAAACCTAAGAAGAAGCATAGAGCCAGCATCCATCTCCTTGAGTCCATGGTGCTGGATGCTTTCTGGCTGCAGGAAAGCGCAGGGCTGTTAGAGGAACTCTGCCTTGTTTATATATGCTGTCTCCACGCCTGTGACACTAAAAAAAATAAATAAAATCCCAACACCCCTCATGGACAAACATGAGCATCCATGCACTCACCTAAAGTTCAGCCTCTGGCCTTGAAGCAATCAGGAAGCGCAACTTAAAGTAGCAGCAGAGCAGAAACCCAGAGACGGTACTACACACTGAAATTCTAGAATTGTATATCGCTGTATTTGCTGATGATGTTATTTTTTTTATTGCAAAAAGGGAAATAACAATAGGGGAGAAAATTATCCAACTCTGCAGAGAAAGCTACAGAAAGAATTTCAAACTGGAAACTAAGGATTTCTCTTTTTATGTCTGTGTTTTAAACAATAAGATCTGAACCTAGAGCAACTAATTAAACCATAATTAGGCAACCATTTTGTATTTGACTAAATATACTAATGGGAAATGACCTTTAAAGAAAATTGCACTTTACTAGGTAACACATTAAGTCTAGTATCATATAAAAAAGAAACATTTTGGCAAACACAGGTCAGCCATGCCATACCCAGCATATTAAAAAAAGACAAACACAAATGACATGGGGGGAGTATAATAAGGGGGATATAATGAGGCTGTCCAGGGGACATAAACAAGGATGCAGTTACTTATTTGTCACTGGCTTGTGAAATCACCATATAGTAAAAATGTAAAAGTTTTTGAGATAAAACATAGAACCTAAAAACATCAATGTGGAAAAGGAAGGAGATATTCAACACACACACAAAAAAGTTAATTATTTTTATTCATTTATTTTGTGAAATAGCGTTTGCTCAGCCAAATTTCAATAATATTTGTAAAAACAAAGGTTTTAAATGTCTTGGCAGATGAGCTTATTTTTTTATTAATGAAAAAGCTCTCATAGTCTTTCAAGCTTTATTTTTACCTTTATTTGAATTACGAAATCTAACTATGATGAATCTTAACGATGATTGAACGATAGACAAACACAAAGTAGTCGTCTAAGTGTTAAGTGAACTATTCTTTGCTGTTTTTGTATGTTAATAAAAATATGACTTTTCATTGATTGTCAATTTTATTTTATTTTTTTACTGGGCCAATCTGACAAAACTAAACCATTCTATCGTAATTCATGTATGTTCAGTGGCCAATTCCTGTAGTAGGGTGAAGCTCCAGTCAGTTACAAGTCTTTTGCCTCTAGCATTTGTTTTGAGTGGAATTATATTGACCTGCACCTATTTGCCTGCAACATTCAACCTTAGAAAAGTCTCAACAACATGATGTTGCCACCACCACATGTCATCCTGGTAATATAATGTTCTGGATGATGTCCACTGTTTTTGTTGTTTTTTTTAATCAAAAACTTTTTTGGGATTAACCTTACTTCATCATCTTTGTAGTTTCTCCCATGTGACTGCTGGTGAGGAGAAAACAGGATTTATAGGGTGCATGATTCACAGTTCTATGCTAAATAAACTGGACTTTACTTGTATTTTCTTATCCATACATAATTACCTGAATTGCTTTACATTATAGCCACTTTGAAGGAGATGTTAATACACTTATATGCAGATTGGGGTTTTGACAAAATCTCTGTGGTGTTTCAAGGACATCCAAAGCCAATAAGGATTTTTGGTCAAGTATTCAATAATGGTGGGTATTTTCCATCCCTTATTGCTCCACAGGTAGTATGTTTTTAAAAAATATGTATCTGAAAACTGAGAGGACCGCTAAACCCTTCACGTTATCTACAAATCCTCCAAATTAGCTTTTTGTTTGCTTTGAAAGTACTAAATTTTATCTGCAGGTAAGATACCAGGGTGCTCAGACCAGTCATATTCTGATAAAGACTGACCTACTTTTGTTCCGTCCAGATGCATTAACCATGACGACCCACCCTATCTTTCACCCTTTTACTTGCTGTCATAACAGTTAAACCATTTAATCTTTGATTTCATTATATTTTCTTTAAATTAAGTTTTATTTTAATTATATAGCTTTATGGAAATGAGATTTAATTAAGATAAGTATCTTTCAGATACAAATGTACACTGATTTCATTTTTTCTTAATTAAAACGTTTTTTAGCCAATTTTAGCCAATGTCTCTTAAAATAACCTCCTTTGTCTCCATAAATCATAAAATAGATTATTTTCCTAAGTCTAGGGGATTGTTTTGATGCTATTTTTGCACAATATCTATCTTTTTGTTGGATCATGAACGGGGCAGGTAAGGCCTGCATCGGATTAAGGTGTGGTTCTTTTTGCACCTCCATGATGGGTCATTGACGCCTCTGTTCCATGTAAATAATAGCACTGTTTCTGATATCATAGATCCAAACAGTCTGGAATTAGATGCTTGCATAATGTATTTGCTTTTAACCACTTCATATTGTAAATGGTAAGATCTGTAAATATTAATAATAATTGTATAAGGTCATATTTTTATGCGACTTCTTCAAAAAAAAAAATAGAGAATCTGACAGTCTTTATTTTTACAACACTGGTATAAAAAAGCATGGTGAAAGCATGCTATTATCTGTATAGAGTAACCTAAAGGCTTGAATAAAAAAGTTAAAAAAGGACAGGGGTTAGAAAAATTGAATTGGGACTAATGGTTTTAAAGACCCTCTGATGATTTAAGAGGTGAATAAGTTGATAATAAGAAATAAGATCTCTATAGCCAGGTAAGTCTGATGTAAATCTAATTTGATCAGAAATGTTGCCTGATCCATTCAGATAGAAGCAATATGATGTTTAGAGCATTTTTGTATTTAGTAGAGTATTTAGCTAAAAGACATAAAAACATCTTATAGCCATTATATATATATATATATATTATTATTATTTTTTTTTTTTTTTTTATGTAGTTTAGGAATCAAAGTGACAACACTCACTGAGTGAGGCAATTCTTTATTGTTGAAGGATTTGCGGTATACTCCAAGAAGAAAATTTGGAAATTTTAGACAAGAACTTAAGCCTAGGTCTAAATTGAACCTGAAGACGCTTACCTGTCCACCAGTTTCCTCTTCATGTACTCCTGCTCCAGCCTATTGGTACAGCTCCTCACCCTCCCCTCAGCCAGGTATTGTTCAGAACTGTACCTTTACAGCTTCAGGTCTAAGGATGCCCTCAGTTCCAACTAAACTGAAACCCTCCTCTACCCCTTCACCACCTTCATCCCAACCATCTCTCTATGACTCTTCTCATTTTTCCAGCCTCCATTTCACCACCAATGTCGACTCCAAGGGGAAAGACATCTCTAAGTTAGATCTTTGCATATCAAGGTCACACCAATGAATATATTGATGTATTCAGCACCAATGTCTTCTGCCTGGATCTGAGAGCCAAACATTCATACTTTTTTCATATCTATAAAAATCTCTAATTGCTGTTTTCTCAATGTCACTTCAGTTTGAAATTTGTGGTACAATTCTAAGGTAAAGCCATAATCTCTCTTAGAATTTTGATTTTGATGGCCTGTTTTTCTCTGCAATAGTTAATACTATTTATGTCTTTCTAAAAAAAAAAAATTGGGCTCTATCAGCCTTTATTTTGTTATATTCAATAGTAGGAATACAGGAAAGTGGGTTAGAAGAGAGTGGAGAGACATTATGCAAAGGTCAGTTGGGCTCCTGGAATGATGTGACTGTGATCATCTGTAAAATTTCAGGTCGGTGCACCTGGAATGGGGTCTGTAAAGCAGAAGGGAAGATGTTCATCTCGTCTCTCACCATAACGTTACAAAGGTGGGGGAAATAATCTATAGTGGGGGCTGCCATGTTGGTTTCTGTACGCACAAATAAATGTTGAGTTGAAAAAAAAAATTGGGTTAATTTAACCCAACAATTTTTGTTATTTTTTTCTGTTGGTTTCTCTAACACAACAATGCTCATACAAGCCAACTGGGTTGTTTATAAAACCCAATCAAGGGCTCTATTGACTACACTGCTGTGTTGTTTAAACCCAGAAAGTTGGGTTGTATTGTTATTATTTTACATATTATAATATATTTTATAACTATTATATCATATTATAATTATGATAATTGTTTTATATATTATAAATATTATCACTATATTATAAACTTTATTATCCTTAATATTGCAATTATAATTACTTCAAATTAATTAATCTAAAACATATTTAAACATACAACATTTCCATAAAATTGTCATGTAGGCTTACACTCCTTCACATAAGACAAGAGGAAAATAAAAAACCTTTTGAATCAGATATTAGTAGAGCCGTCACATCTTCAATAGCCTTGCAAGAGATCACAACCGATGCTTGAGAAAAAAGAAATCTGTTTGCTGGTAACAGCACAAATGGACCTGGGACCCTGAGGACTTTGCTGTCTACAACTACTCTATGATGTTAGTTCTAGACCTACGATAAGAAAAAAGGGCAAACCATAAGGTAAAAAGGCTAATTAAGCTGAGGGTTTTGTAAAACAGAACCATGGCAACTTGTTGCCTAAGCAACAATAGTCAACTCAGGAATTTCTTGTGAAAAACAGTGTTACTTACACTTTTAACAGTTAGTGGAAAAAAAAACCTTTAGCATATTAGTAATTGATTTATTATTGACTTAATTTGTAAAAAAAAACCCAGACCGATCATCTCATTAGCTAACATGTTTTTCTAGCAAAAGTGCCTTGCAAACTTAACGACATCTTAATGACCTTATGAAGCTTCATATAATAATATAAACATCAAATATATACTGTATGACAAAGGCAGAGTATACCACAAACCTGGGTTTGTGTTGAATTGAGTCTGGTCAGTATGATCTCATCAGATGATGTTGAGGTTCAGTTAGTGTGCGGTGTGGTTGCACATGTTCAAACATCAGCCTATGGTGTTGCACAGTCCAAAATAAACAACCACAACATTATAGAGATTACAATCCAACTGCTAACTCCTGCTAACATAAATAACCTAGCAAATGGGGTTTTCAGAATACCCAATTCAATGAAATTGACCCAATTTAATAACCCAACATGCTCAACCTGGCATTTGGTTTAAAAAACAACCCAGCATTTCTTAGAAAGCATCGTGCCTGTTATTGTATGTTTGAGAATGCTGTTTTTATGACCTGTGATTAAAACTCCACCTGAGGTTATCACCCCTCCTACACACCCAACTCTGAGGTTACAGATCTGCAACTTGTCCCTGGACACTCTGAAACCCTCTGACCCTAACAGGTTAGAAAATCTGCACTCAGCTAACCCACCTGCTAGGTGATGATTGGTGGGACAAAGCTTTTAGCTTACACAACCACAGTCCACTACATTCAAATACGACTTTTACAAATTTATTGAAGTGTCACGTGACAAATGGCATTTAATTCATATATTTTATTCATGCTTTCTTTTTTTTTTTTGGCAGAAATATTTTAGTACTATATCAAAAGTTATTTTAATAACCATAAAACCTTCTGCCCATCTGACTATATTTGGGCTCCCTCCTTTTCAATGATTTTATACAATGGATTGTTTAAAGACTTTAATATGTACAATAATTAATGCTTATTTTTCACTATTTGTCACTGGTATCTGAATTGTGTTGAGTTTTTTTATTTCTTTTTTGTATTGTAAAAAAAATTAGAATGAGAATTTAAAAATTAAAATGCTGTAGAATGCCTAGTGTATAGCTATACTCTTTCCCTGTACATATATATGTAACCAAAATGTATTCAGCTGTATCAGTGATATGGATGTGACGTGAACTCTCAAAGAATGACATTGGTTACTTTCCCAAACCCCAAAAGTTAAATACAAAATAAATAAAAAATTGACACCCATCTTTGAAATTACTGAAGTTAAATACTTTTTATTGAAAAGGTATAATATAGTAATCACAAACTTAAAATTGAACAAGTCATCAAGCAATGGTGGATTGCCCTAAGAATTTAATCTAAATGTAAATTGTGAGATTTCAGGATTTTTCCCTATACAGTGAATTACAGAATCAGTTCGATTTAGTACAGATAATGTGTGTTAATATTGACTTATGTACAATATATCCATACTACTCAACTTCCAGGTAGTATGACTTAAAAAACAATCACAAGAGCCCTAGTGTTACCACTGGAGAAGGTTTTCTGTTAGAGACCTGGGAAATAGAGCAGCAGGAAGTGATTAAAAAAAACTGCCTTCTATGCAACAATGATGGAATTTAATTTGTGAGTTTTGCAGAAATAATACATTAGTAGATAGTACACTAGTGGTTCCCTGCACTATCAAGCACAGCCACTGGAGGGTGCTGTTTCACTTATAAATATATATTATGTAGAACCACCTGCTTCAATTTAGCAATGTTGAAACACACTATAAAAAGCTGCTTTCTCAAACTTATATTCTATAATCACAGGTGTTGAACATTATCAAGTGATTATCAAGTAGTGACACTTTGGACATTGAAGTAATGGTAGACACAGTCATAGGTCTAGATTTCATGGACACTCATACAGTTTTTGCATTTATTGTTATGTTTATTAAACATGATAAAAATGTGCATAACATTTTGCATGCACAGTTTTTAATCTGTTAGAACTCAAGACTTAATACAATCATTGCTATAAATGTGCCATTTTGATTAAAGGGAAACTTAGTTGAAGGAAGACACATTATATGATTCTTATATGATATAAAGAGTATTTAGAAATTTGTTGCTAAAAAGATTATGTTCAATAAAATTACAGATAAGTATTTCCACCGGTAATCAGTTAAAGTTGTGCACCACAAGCTCTACACTCACAGCTAGTCACATGCTTGTAGGTATATTTCCTGGTAGTGAGATCAGAGCATTCCACCTCCAGCTCTCTAAACTCTGAGCTCTGCTCCTGGCAGCAGCTGTACTCCTGCTCCACCTGCAGGTAATCGTCCAATAATATCCTGTTGAAGAGGAAAAAAATCAACACAGAGACGTAAGGAATGGTGGTAAAAACTGAAATGATATGTGAGGTGAAAGGCTTTTAAGCATCTAAATCTTCCGTTCCTCCTTACCAGGGCTTGGAAAGACAGTAACCCTCACATATCGGTACTTCGATAACGGTGGAGCACTCATCAATAGTGGCATTTATTTTGGAAAGCTTGGACACACAGGTCTGGTTATCTAGAGTTGGAATAGACAGAACAAAACAGAAAACTTTAGATCATCTTAAAAAAGATTATAGAAGAATTTAAATCTAATTGGCCAATTTTAGATTTGTGTCGTTACCCGATTTAGAGGTGAAGCAGCAACTTTGGTTGTTCCAAATCCTGTTACCCTGGAGAGACAGTTAACAACACATCATTAGCTAGATTATACTTAAACATGTGGCTTGATCATTCATTTAGAAACTCATCATTCAAAGAACATTTAAAGGTAATTATTTTCCTTTATCCATTTTGTCAGATTAAAATTTCTGACTTTTTGGTGCCTTACATTTGTACCTCTCCTTCCTTTACTTTGATTAATCTAAATAAGCCAGAGTCCAAAACCAAGTCCAGAAGTCACCTAATTAGTAAATAAAGTCCACATAGTTTAAATCTGATATGACAAATCTAAATGTTCAGTGAAGTCTCCAGACATTTCCATGTTAGAGATAACCAATAAAATCTGTGGAGATAAATTTCACTACTAGCAACCGATATATCTATATATATCTTCTATAATAGCTAAATAGAAGAAATGCATTTTACTTTCTAGCAGGACACCATATATCTAAAGGAGTGGTTCTTAATTAGTTTTATGTGTCTTAATTATTTGAATGAGGTGTGCTGGAACAGGAAAGCAACTAAAACATGAATAACTGGTCATTGTCATTTATTGTCTATAAACTATTATAATCCGCTTGGTAGTATTAGTATATTGCAATAAATGTAACACAATACACTGAAATTTGTGATTTTCACTGGATGAAATATGGAAAATTTAACAACTACTTTTGCCTGATACCTAATTGTTAGGAATCCAGTTTGTGTGGTCTGTTTTTGTGCTTTTTCTCTCTCCACCACCAGGTGGTGCCCTGTTCCTCGTTGGGCCTCCCTGCACACCTGCGGCTCGTTGGATCATTACCGGAGGAGTATTTGAGCAGTGGGCTGTCACTACCTCGACGCCAGAGTGTTTGCCAGTTTTGGGTACTCTAGCCAAGCTGAAATTAGCAGAGTCTAACCGTAGCTTTGTGTCTCTGAGTCTAATCTTGTTTTTGTCTTTGCTCTTTGTCTCTGCAGGAAGTCTTTCCTGTGTAACTGGATAACCTGGACCTTCTCCCCCTGGAAGGATTACTAAGTACACACTGAGCAGGGGTAAACCTCCACATGATCCGTTCAAGTCCTCATCATAAAACGAAGTGACAGTCTGCTCCTTTACTCCTCTGGGTCCAAAGTATGTCTACCTGTCTGCTCTCCATAGAGTTCCCTCTCCTCTGGAATAATTCCCCACAAACTGGATTCAAGGATTAACAAGAGCCCCCTCAAATTCAAGCCTCAGTCAATTTTCCTACGGTCCCTGAACTAATCACTGTGACCTCCGCTTCAGACTTTCCGGTTCCGGTTCACCAGAGTTCCAGCTCCTACTTCTGTGTTTCATCAACATTCAATAAACCTGTTAAACTTTTTGCCTTGGTCTCTGAGTGGTTCTCTGCATGTGGGTCAGATCGCGTAAACCCATTATGAGATTACTAAATTTTTAAACAAATACTTAGTGTAAATAAATATAGCAGTTTTATGTAAAAGTTGCTTTTTTACATTGTTTTACACTCTTAAAATTTTTTAAACATAATCCAAAACAATGAGAAATAATTCTAGTAAATTAGAGATTTCATTCTTTAGAGACATTAGGCAATGATACCTCAGGACAGTCCTCTGTAGGACATGCTCTTGTTTCACTCTTGATTCCTTTCCCAGTGCAGACAAAGGACAGGCAGGGGTCACTCATGTCCTTCCATGTATCTCCCAACTATGCATAACAGAAATAAAAATCACAAACTGGACAATAAAGGGACTGACTCTGATGATTAAATACAATACAACGTACACTGTATGTGGTTCCATTATAGTTGCAAGTCTTCTCAACTGTAAAATAAAGCAACTGGTGTCCGATTAAAGCAAAGACATCTAAATAAACGTGTTACAATGATAGCACAAGATTTACTTTTTCTTACTGACACAATACTACATTTTTATTAACTTTTATTTAGGGTTAAAATATAATTTTTGTGGAAAATTAAGTTTAACAGTCAGTCTTTTATTGTTCATGATCTCTCAAGATCACACATCCAACCAAAGCGCTCCTTCCCTTCTTAGAACTATAAACTGCAGCAAAATAGAGATCAGGTGTAGAGCCCCATTTCATTTCATTGAATTTTGGTGTAATGCTTACTAGAATAAAAAAAATATATTCTTGACATGGTTTATAGCAAGAATATACTGTTTTAGACAGATACATTCTTCACACAGCTGAAGAAAAGCAGGTTAAAACTATCTAATCTTGAACCATGGCACTCCAGCTTTTTTTGTACACATCTTAAGGTTTTTGCAGGTGACCTAGGTGTTGGGAGCTGGAGAAGTTCCACCTTTTCTCCAGCAGAGTCTGCCGTGGATCCTTCTGAGTGAGCCTCCTGCACAGCTGCAGCCCATCAGATCATCAGAGGATCCACTACATAAGCTGTCTTCAGATCTTGCCTCAACGCCGCAGTGTTGATCCAGTTGGTCAGCGCCTAAGCCTAGACTCTCAGTGAATCTTTGTGACTTTGAATCCAGCCTGGATTCTAACCCTAGTCTCTGTCTTCCAGGAAACCAGTTTCTCCTCTGTGGAGCTCAGGAAGAGCTAACCTGCCGAGCCGACCCTCAGAGCCAAACCTGAAGATCCTCAGTGAATTTCCATGCAGCTCAGGACTAAGAGCTGGAGAACCCAAAGCCAAGGTCTGCCCAAAACTAGATGTAAGACGCTGAAGCAGCTAGCGGACTCTGCTGATCAACTCCTCTCCAGATCCAACAGTGACCCTCTCAAACTTATCTACAAGAACCCTCAAGGTACAATCAGTAACAATCAAGAACGCCTGCTCCTAAGCACAACGCTAACTGAACTGTCTCTCACGCAGACTCTGGTGAACCAGTTTCCAGGCCCGAACCAGAACCTGTCTAATCAGTGTGCTAGAGATCAAATAAACTTGTTGAACTTTTATTCCTGTGTCCGTCTAGTGGTGTTCTGCATAATTGGGTCACTCTTCGTGCACCCATCATGACACTAGGGAGGAGTCAGGTTTTAAAAATAGAAAATGCTTATAGACCATTAAGGAAAACCAGGAAATGGAATAAAGAAACAAAAATACAAAAGAAATTTTCCAATGTCAGTCGATTGTCAGTTCTTACCACAAATCTGATCACCACAACAAGTGGTGTTCACCAAGGTTTCATTTGGGGAACAGACTGGTGTTTCTAAAACAGGCTTTCGAACACACTGCTCTGTGAAGGTCTGATTATTACATGTACAGATGTGGCAATTAGATTCCCACACCTCTCCAGCCTGAAAATAGAGGAACATTCATGTGTTAGATGGTAGTTTTATATAATGAGATGCTTAAAAGGTTATTTATTTTTTTTTACTTTAATGCTTGCTGTGACAAAACAAATCATACTTACAAACTTAGGCTCTCCGAGCGGTCCTTTACAATCTGTTTTTAAAGAATAAAAAAAGTCATTTCTGGAAGAAGACTGAAGCTAAATCTGTTAGAAGTTGTACTCACAAGGACATTGTTTCACACAAACATTTGAGTGGCTTCCTGCCCTAAAAAGTCCTGGAGGGCAGAAACATCCGGAAATGGGCGGGTGCACAGATTTCCCCCAATTAATGACTCTAAACAGAAGAGAAATATCTTGATAAATCGTTAACAAATATTTACAAAAAGTAAAGCATCAAACAGGTGAATGTTTTTCACAGTATAGTGATTCAGAGTGGGGGATTAAGGGGGGCTGTGTGGCATTAAATTTGGACCATGTATCCAAGGCAACGTAAATTATTTCACCCAACTAAAGTAATCAAAACAAATTGGTGTGTAAAAAATGAGTAGTAGATGACACAACAGGAAAATAAATGTTGAACACATGAGGAAAGGGAGGTACTGTAGGTCATTCCCAAATACGATGGCAAGAAAGATGTACTGAGTAATGTGTGATGGGAATCTAAAGACAAAACTAAACCCAGATTATTCTACAGCCAGGTAGTATTCCCAGATATATGGTTAGAGAATCTAATTTGTTTCAGATAGAATACAAAGCTGCTCGAATAGTCAAGATCATCAACCCTCCTTAATCCCAGGGGCCTGAGAGTTTCTCTGCAGAACAATACTTCAATATCCCAACACAGGGATGTACAGATATATTTCTCTATACAACAGATGTTTGATTATTTTCATACAGCTTAAATCAATTATACATCTTCTAATGTATTCTGGATCTCTGGATTTCTTGTGCTTTTATAAATTTGAATATCAATATATACACTACAAAAAACATTGCTGGGATCAACAATTTTTCCTACTACGGTATATTTTTGCAAAATGGTAAAGAGATAAATAAAGCTGGCAAACCCTCCAAAACAGAAGTCATCTTTTTTATCTTGGTATTCTTTATAAATCAATCCTTTGGGACATTCCACATCTGAAACACAACAAAGGGGAGTGAGCTTTAATCAAGAACTAATTAGAAATTACAGTAGTTCATTCATTTCTTTGAGAGGCTTTGCTATACATAGGAGAAAGAGGTATAAAGTGCTTACCACAACTTCCATTAGTCAGTTCTCTCCAGTCAACATAGAAATTAACATGTTTACATTCCCTAGCTGCTTGTTCCAAAGAAGAGCAGGAAGCATTTGGATTTAAACATGAATCAAACTGACAGTTCTTCTTTATGATATTCATATTCACATATTTGCTGCAGTTAGCAAACATCCTGAAGAAAGACAGATTTTTGCTTTTAAAGTAAACAGATTATTCCGCTATTGGCATTTATTGGCATTTCACACCTGTCACACTTTTCTAACAGAACATTTTTGTGTGTAGCGTGAAGCGTACGGGTGTTCAAGCAGTTGGCATAATGAGTTTGGTACACAGGTAGGTGGGGGTCCAGTGGTTTCCGGGGGATCAACCATGACACACGGTACATCTACTGGTGCAGAAAAACACATCGGCTTCAAAGGGTCATAGTGAACCCAGTCATAGGCTGTCTTGTCACAGCAGGTGTCGTCCTCAATCTTGCCTCCTCTACGGATGCATGATGCACCACCACACACACCTTTAGAGGGGAAGAAATTGCTGGTTAACAAATTATAACGTACACCATCATAATTAATAAATAAGTAACCATTAGCTTCCAAGATCTTTAGCTAAACACTTTGTACTATTCTGCACTTAATCAAAGTTCCATTAAATTGGGACAAGACCAAATTAATCCCTTTAAAGATATCAGTTTAGATTTTAAGAAACAAGTCAAGTTGGGTTTCGATGAATAATTCTTAAGCTAATCAATTTATTTGTTGCTAATTTTTTCATTTATAGAATAATAATCTGATAGTAAAATATGCTATATGGGATTTTTTTTTACATTAGTCTGCAATTTCAGGAAAATAAAAAATGTTGAATTAATCAATTACTAAATGATTGACAATTATTAAGTCAATCAATCTGAATTAATCTGATTAATTGTTTCAGCTGTAAATCTAGGAATGATCAAGTCATAAGTATTGGCCCAGAGGAACTTTCAACAATGAAATAAGTTTTCCCTCTACAGAGTGGGGAGCAGGAAAGAACTCCTAACTCCAAAATGTATAACTTTTAGTTTTTTGACAATTCCCAAGGGCCTTTTGGAGAGTAGACTAAACATAAAAATACTACGACAACATACAAAACATGCATAAAGGAACAAGACTTTTAAATTAAGGCATTTAAGCGTAAGCACACTACTAACTTTAAAGCATGGTGGTGGCGGCATTATGGCATTCAGTTTTTTGTATCATCTATCTAGGAAGTTAGTGTTTTAAACAGATACCAAGAGGAGATGCTGCAGACCATTGTAGTTTGAAAATTTAATGTGCAGTTGAGACATAATACATTGATGTGTTGAAGACTGGTGAAAAGGAAGCTTACGTTATTTTCCAATTGAAAATCATGACTTCCTGTTCAAAGCTTACCACATTGACCCTGAGTATTGTTGACAAAGTTTTCCATGGCAAGGTTGACCACCAGGTTAAAAGATGGAGAGAGGGAGACAAAAGAGCGGATATCAGGAAGGACGATTAATACTTCATAGTCTGTGGTTTCAAACCTTATCCCCTCTGCCTCAAATGGTGGTTGAACCTTCTCGCCATTCAGAGTGGCCTGTGGAAGACACACCCATGTCAATCCATCTGACTTGATGATGCGATGTAAGATTTTTCATACTTAAATTGACAAATCTGTTTATCTGCTTACTTTTTTGAAGCAGTATATCCATAAAACAGAAATTACTGTACCTGAATACCAACAGCATCATAGTCTACGCTGAGCTCAGCCGTGTTGTTCTGATATTTCACAATGACGTCCTTAACACAGGAGCCTTGGAGTCCTGGTACGCAGTAGAAGTTGTCCACCAAAATGGTCAGGTGGTGCTTGGGTGACTGCTCTTCCACCAGAATGTAGGTGCAGTTTTGCAGAAAATCAAAGGTTGCACCACTAAAAGAGATGTAGTGAGGGTCTCCATAGAGGTCACAGACACCTGTGAATGTTCAGAGGCATAAGTTGATTAAGCTGTGATATGCAAACATAACAATTACTTTGGAACAAAATAATAATAATTTTGTTCCTGTAAATCAGAAATAAAAATTCATGAATACTCACAGTCACATCCCCATGTTTCACAGCATCCATCAGGGATCTTTACTGCCTTATCCCTGGGACATGCAGGTCTAACAGACTTGTTACAAGGCACTGAGATCTGCTCTATTATCCGATCCACACAGGTCTTGACAAAACAGTCCTCTGTCCAAGAGTCCCCACAAGCCCAGGTTTTTTTCAGTTTAAGATCGCTGCAGAAACAGACTTTTTCGGGAAGGTGAAACAACGCACACTTAATCAGAATATTTTCTATCTATATTGCTTTTAGGAACAAATACAAAGTACACAGCATTCATTATTGTGAGTATGTTATTTTCATTTTGGTCAAAGGCAGTCGTACCAGGGGTAGGAGTTGTAGAAAAGGTAGTCTCCTGTTTTGTAGTTAAAGAAGTTGTAGTTGCTGGTGTAGAAGCAGTAGTCTCCAGCGTTGAGGTTGGAGAGGTTGTAGTAGGAGTTGTAGAAAACGTAGTGTCCTGTTTTGTAGTTAAAGAAGTTGTAGTTGCTGGTGTAGAAACAGTAGTCTCCAGCGTTGAGGTTGGAGTGGTTGTAGTAGGAGTTGTAGAAGACGTAGTCCCCGGTTTTGTGGTTAAAGAAGTTGTAGTTGCTAGTGTAGAAACAGTAGTCTCCAGCGTTGAGGTTGGAAAGGTTGTAGCAGGAGTTGTAGAAAACGTAGTGTCCTGTTTTGTAGTTAAAGAAGTTGTAGTTGCTGGTGTAGAAACAGTAGTCTCCAGCGTTGAGGTTGGAGTGGTTGTAGTAGGAGTTGTAGAAAACGTAGTCCCCGGTTTTGTGGTTAAAGAAGTTGTAGTTGCTAGTGTAGAAACAGTAGTCTCCAGTGTTGAGGTTGGAGAGGTTGAAGTAGGAGTTGTAGAAAACGTAGTCCCGGGTTTTGTGGTTAAAGAAGTTGTAGTTGCTGGTGTGGAAACAGTAGTCTCCAGCGTTGAGGTCGGAGTGGTTGTAGTAGGAGTTGTAAAAAACCTAGTCCCCGGTTTTGTGGTTAAAGAAGTTGTAGTTGCTGGTGTAGAAACAGCAGTCTCCAGCATTGAGGTTGAAGAGGTTGTAGTAGGAGTTGTAGAAAAAGTAGTCCCCTGTTTTGTGGTTATGGAAGGCTTAGCTTCTGGTGTAGAAACAGTAGTCTCCAGCGTTGAGGTTGGAGTGGTTGTAGTAGGAGTTGTAGGAAACATAGTCCCCGGTTTTGTGGTTAAAGAAGGTGTAGTTGCTGGTGTAGAAACAGTAGTCTCCAGCTGTGAGGTTGGAGTGGTTGTAGTAGGAGTTGTAGAAAACATAGTCATGTGGTTAAAGAAGTTGTAGTTGCTGGTGTAGAAACAGTAGTCTCCAGCGTTGAGGTTGGTGAGGTTGTAGTAGGAGTTGTAGAAAACGTAGTCCCGGGTTTTGTGGTTAAAGAAGTTGTAGTTGCTGGTGTGGAAACAGTAGTCTCCAGCGTTGAGGTCGGAGTGGTTGTAGTAGGAGTTGTAAAAAACGTAGTCCCCGGTTTTGTGGTTAAAGAAGTTGTAGTTGCTGGTGTAGAAACAGTAGTCTCCAGCGTTGAGGTTGAAGAGGTTGTAGTAGGAGTTGTAGAAAAAGTAGTCCCCTGTTTTGTGGTTATGGAAGTTGTAGCTTCTGGTGTAGAAACAGTAGTCTCCAGTGTTGAGGTTGTAGTAGGAGTTGTAGAAAAAGTAGGCCCCTTTTTTGTGGTTATGGAAGGCTTAGCTTCCGGTGTAGAAACAGTAGTCTCCAGCGTTGAGGTTGGAGTGGTTGTAGTAGGAGTTGTAGAAAATGTAGTCCCCGGTTTTGTGGTTAAAGAAGTTGTACTTGCTGGTGTAGAAACAGTAGTCCCCAGCGTTGAGGTTGGAGAGGTTGAAGTGGGAGTTGTAGAAACTGTAGTCTTCTCTTTTGTGGTAAAAGAAGTTGTAGTTGCTGGTGTAGAAACAGTAGTCTCCAGCGTTGAGGTTGGAGTGGTTGTAGTAGGAGTTGTAGAAAACGTAGTCCCCGGTTTTGTGGTTAAATAAGTTGTAGTTGCTGGTGTGGCAACAGTAGTCTCATGTGTTGTGCTTGAAAAAGTTGTAGTAGGAGGTCTAAAAACAGTAGTAGTGCCCATTGTTGTGGTTAAAGAAGCTGTAGTTGCTGGTGTAGAAAAAGTCCCCAAAGTGGTGGTTGAAGGATTTGTAGTAACATGCGTTGAAACACTTGTTTTCATGGTTGAAGAAGTTGTAGTAGCAGGTGTAGAAATCTCAGTTGTTTCTGGTGTATAAGCAATTATAATTAGCACTTTTTATTTGTAGTCAAGACACTGGTAGTTGTAATCAGAATTTTATGAGATGTTTTTTTTTTTTTTTTTACCTGTGGCAGTTGTTGTTGGTGTAGCTGTCGTTGTTGTATGAGCTGTTGACATCAGGGTAGTAGTTTATTATAATTAATATAAAAAAGAGCAATAAAGTTCTTTGATGTCTTCATATGGTTTAATGTGAAAGACCACATCTAGGTAATGCCTCTAAGCAACATTTTTCTGTATTCTCATATCTGAATTTCTTTTGGATTTAAGTTTAGACTTTGACTGAACTATTTTAAGACATATATTTTGATTTGAACCATTTAAATGTAATACTGGCTAAATGTTTATGACATAGCATCTACATCCTATGGATGGAACAGTGGGTCAAAAAATATTTTGCCCGCCAGTGATCCTCCCAAGTCTCCTACTAAGAAAGATGAGAGAGATCTGTAATTGTCATCACAGATACACTTTGACTATGACAGACAAAGGAACACAGAAGAAAACAAAATCCTGGAAATCTCATTGTAGTATTTTTAAAGAGATATGTGGAAAATAAGTATTTGATCATTGATAAAAGTTTAACTTAATCCTTTGTAGCATTACAGTTGTTGGCAATGACAGAAATCATATATACTATAAGTCTTATTAGGTTTACACACACTGTAAGTGGTATTTTAGCCCATTCCTCTATGCAGATATCCTCTAGAGCAGTGCTGTTCTGAGGGTTTTGCTGGGCAATATGGACTTTCAACTTCCTCCACAAATTTGTATGTTGGGATGCAACTTATCATTCTTTTTTTCTTCAAACATTGACTTTGTACCAAAAAGTAATATTTTGGTACAAAATGACATTCTCCCAATCATCATGTTGATCATCCATGTGCATTCTAGAAAACCCTCAGACGGGCCGGGAGAAGAGATTAAGCAGGGGGACATGTCTGATACTGCAAGACTCAAGTCCCTCTTGGTGCAGTGTGTTACTGATAGAGGTCTTTATTACATTGGTCCTATCTCTCTGCAGGACATTCATCAGATCCACCTGTGTAGTTCTGGGATTTTTGCACACTGTTCTAATGATCATTTTGACCTTACGACCTTGCATGGGGCCCTAGATCGTGGGAGAATATCACTGATCTCCCATTTTCATATAATTGCTCCCACACTTGATTCATTCACACCAATGTGCTTGCAATTCTAGATTCCCTCTTACCAGCCTGTTGCAGGTCTACAATTTTTATCCTGGTGTCCTTTGACTGCAGTCTTTATTGGTCTTTCACATAAAATTCCATACTTGAAAGGCAATGTAACATTTGCAAAGCAAGAACTGTATCAATAGTCAAAAGTTATTAATACTTAAGGCAAATGATTGTTCCATTTTCACAAGTACTGGGTGAAGAGCAAAAATATTTAGTCATTGTTGAAACAATTCTTAGCATATTGCATTGAAGAAAGTACAAACTTACCTCAAAACTAAGTCTATAACAACTTCTTCTCCTGGTGTGACAATTGTTTCATTGAAATAACAGGAACAATTCCTGATATCAGTGCATCTGCCAGTATTTTCATCAAAGTATGGCAACTCTTTAGGGCATCTTGGGTAACAGCCTTTTTCAGGAAAAAAACAAAAAGAAAACACCTCTTGATATATTGAAGGGTTCTTTAGGAAACTACTCCCCAAAAAAAGTCTCCAAAGGATTTGGAGTGTGCACGAAAAGTCTTTTATGTTCTTTGTATATATAAATGTCATCTAATCACAAAACAGGATTAAATTGAAATGCGACCTTTTCGCAAACATAAGGAAAGTCTGGCTGCCATCTAAATAAGCCTGTTTTGTGTTTGCCATGACCGGGATGACTGTGAACTATTTCTTTAAAATACTTGACTTCTGTAGTGGTAAAGGGCCTGCACTTTTATAGCTCTCTTTTAAGTCAGAAAACTTCAAGCACTTTAAGCTACTTTCAGTCATTCATCCATTAATGCACACAGTCACACTCTGATGGTGGCAAGCTGCATTGTAGCCACAGCTGCCCAGTGGCATACTGACGAAAGCGTGACTGCCATACAAAAACACCATCAGTAAGTTAACATGTAAGTTTGTTTGTCACCTTCCAACTTGTGATGCAAATAGTTGGGAGTTCCACAGGTCAGCATCCTTCCACAGGCTTCATAGTGCCACCTACACTGGCCTTGCTCATTGTAGTAGTCACAGTAAACGGCTAATATAGAAATAATGGAAAGTAATAAAACATTATCGATTAAAGCCTTTATTTTAATGTGATATATATATTTTTTTACATTTTTAAAAGGTTAATATATATCAAATATATATTATTTAAAATAGTTATGTTGTTTATACAGAAAAAAGGATTATAACTTACGACACAAATCAGGTGTCCTCCATTTAATGCAAACATCCAGATCACTGCAGGCCTCTGCATAAGCAGCCACTGCTGTGCAGAAACCCAAGAACTTTCCTTCAAACTCACAGGAACATGACTCCTGCACACAGGCTTGGTAGTAGGGCTCTGGATCCACAGAGTTTAAGTGACATGTTATGCCACATCTGTGGCATAACATGTCACTTAAATCTTTACTATTACTATTACTATTACTAATATTACTATTAGCAAAAGCTAAATATCTACTATACAAACCTTTAAATGACAGTCCCTGAATGTGTCTCCTTTAATGATCATACAGCGCCGCTGGGCCCATGCAGAACAATAGGAGTTACGTTCACATGGAAATATCTCAGTGGTCA